AGAGTACATAGATATTAGTTATAAGATGCCCTGGAGCTAGACTTTGGACATTTCTGATGTACCTGTGACTAAAACCAGGACCTTCTCTCTTAGCTGCAATTTAAAACGATTCACATGCCTGTTGTGAAGAGGGAACAATAACTAATGAGCTTCCTTTTAATGATCTGTCTAAAAAGTGAATCACTGCTGATTACAATAATGTTCTGTGCTGGTTCTAATGAGACATAATCACGCTGTTTGTCCTCCATTATTGTTTTTGGAAGGTGAGTGGACTTTTGTTGCCAGGACACAAGATTGGAGACAATTTATCTCTGTGTTTTCAGAGAAAACAAAAGATTCCCAGAAATAGAAAACATAATAGATTTAATTCCACTTTGTATTTCCACTCATCTGATGCTATAGGCCTAACAGGCTCTGCTGGAAGTAAAACTAAATGCCCAGACATTAGGGATGTCCAATTCTAACGTTTTGTCGATATCCAATATGCTGATATTGTGGAAATACTTAATTTCCGATTCCGATATTAATTGGTACCTGCATACAATCCCCTGAATATTAAAATAGATTAATTAAATCAGCTGCAATGCTGCCATCTAGTGACTTTCACTTTAATATACAGCCATTTATCCCCCAAACTATTTTTTGGGCACACAGGTAAGAAATATTTCCCTGTAAATTCAAGTCTGGGTTTTTACCAACAACTGTTCCTCAGTGCAATCACTCCAACCAGGAAGCAGCATTAGCTGTAATCAGACAAAATGACCTCTTCCTCCTCCTCTTCCTCCTCCTTCCCTCCTCCCTCCACATCCACAGAGCAACAGGTCCAAATATTGTCTTTGTGCTGCTCTGCACAGTTTGTGGGTTTTAACAGGGGCCTGAAACACTGAGTCTGCACAGTTTCTCAGTAGAATTCAAACTTCTGAGTTGGAGCCATGATTTTCCGAGCAACTGTACGACATGCAAAAAATAATCCTGCTGTAAGTAATGTCTATTTATTTCCTGTTTAATTTCAATTCATTTTTTAATATAGATACAACAGAAAGACAATTGAAAAGAAGCAAATAATTAGCAAAAAATATTGAAAAAGTATTATACATTTATGCACACTGTCATTTTCTTGCTATGTGTTTGTTTTTTCTTTGATTTAGATGTTATTTATCTTCTAACTAAAATAATAAATATAATATAAATGTAGGATCAAATGAAGAACCTCTGTTGTCACAGGTTAATTTTCTGAGTTTCCTCACACCGAGTGAATGTTTTCTTGTGTTTATGTTCATTTAATCAGCATGTGAATCAGTTAAGATCTCCCTGTCTGCACACACATTATGGAAAGTACACAAATCATACTAAGTATGTGGAAACGTGCAGCCTCTTGTTTAGCATTTCAGGATTTTGCTACGATTGTAAACTGAACATAAGATGTACTTGTTACTTTTAAAACTATGGTTGTGCAAATTTCATTTGATCAAACCTCCAAAGGGAGAGTGCTGGTTAGGAAGAAGTAACTCTATATGAAGACAATTCCTTCTCTACATAAAATCAAAGCTGCTACTGACTTCATTTATACAGAACAGGAATGGACAGTTTCCATGGGATTTAATGCCATCAGCTGGTAGTTGACCAAAGATGTGAGTTCTTGTGCAAGTAATATTTTGATGTTCAAAGAAAAGGCTTTGCTGGCTTTTTAAAAATAAGTATACGATTTTAAAAACATCTTTGACTTTTACCAACCACCAAAAACTTAAGACTGACAAGCAGCTAAGAGTTTGGGAAGCAAGTAGTTGGAGTTGAACAGATTTAAGCATGCTCTACAGGGAACAGGATTACCTGCTGCTTTTTAAAACCAGCTTTACTGGTAACAGAGGGAGAGTTAACAGGGAGAGGGGGAGAGACACCGCTGGGAGGAAATCCCTGTGAGATTCTTCACTTACAGGAACTGTTTGATATCAAACATACGGACAAACAGGTAGCTAGACTGGAGAGAGAAAGAGAGAGAATGGGTGAGACAGGTGCTAAATGCACAAAATCCCTGCAGAAATCAAAGTACTTTTAAGAATATTAAGACTTACGGGGGGACAGAAAACCATGGGGTCCAAGGGAGACAGACAGAAAAATGTGTGAGACACCCAAAGAATCTTCTTTCATGTGCCTGAAATGTTCCTCTTCCTCGCTAACTGTTAATGAAACGTGATCTCCCTAGTGCTGGGTTATAAACACCAAATGTCAAAGATAATGTGTATCACTCTGGACCACAATAATAAATAACAGAACATCGTTAAAGTTTGATCTTTTCTTTCTCTTCTTTTAACAACAGCTCATTCCCCAGTTCCTCTTCATCGGTGTGGGTTTAGGAGGAGCGGCTCTGTATCTGTTACGACTGGCCACTGGACCCTATGTCGTGTAAGGACCTCATATGTTTCTATGGAATCTGTGTCATTCAACAAATACATTTCCTCATCTGGCCCATCTGGACGTGGGAGTTTAATGCATCCCAGTTTGTTCCTACTGAATTTGGCATTGCCACATTGTCATTGCCTCATCGTCTTTTTCCACAATTTTACAAGTACTACAACACAGGTCCCACCTAGAAAATGAACCACCAATTTTCACATCTATGTAAATTTAGAAAAAATGTCAAAGTTGTTTTCTTGTCCCTGCTTTCAGCTCTGTGAGTAAATGCTGCAGTCAGAAATTAAAAAATGCAAATTTCCACCGTAGCAGAGAGCGATTTCCATTCCATTAAAAGAGGATTTGAAACAGTTTATGATGTGAAAAATAGTCCATGCTGTCACCGCTAAAGAATTCCTGGAATATACTTTCAAGAAAAGAGTAAAAACATTCAGTAAAGAAATATGCATGTTTACCTAATGAAAATCCAACTTTCTTTTTTCTGTAAGTCACAGTGTCTTCTCCCTGAAACCCTTATATCTATCTGTTATATTTTAATGATCCAGCGCATGTGGTGAAATTTGCTGTTTCGTGAGAGCTTCTGACCACATGGCGCTGTGATTGCTTTCATTTCTCCCACAGACCTCCTTTTATTTAGACATCCTCTCCTCCTGCTGCGATCCAAACTGTTGGTCTATTCGTACTGATACTTCAATAACAGCGTGCACAGCTACATGTCTTTAACAAAAGCTCTCAGGATGGTGCAGCCTCTCATCTCTTTGTGGGTCTTCTTGTCATTTGTGCGCAACGGCAGCTGTTTACAAACATGATGAAATTACTGGACAGAGCGTCCCAGTGGGAGCACGGCGGGTTTGAAGCACACACTGTGCGCTTAGTTTGGAAGAGACCTCCAACTTTTGTTTGGCTTCACTTTGTGTTTTTGATTTATTTTGTTGTTGTTGTTTTATATCGAGGAAAATCTGCATGTTCCTACTGCGGGATCAAATATTACTGAGCTGAAATTGGAGCTTCATTCACGTGGATCAGGTTCCACAAAACAGCCTAAAAACACGATGCAACTTTCATGTCTGTGTTTGTGTTCTTAGATGGAACAGGGCCAAAGACCCTGAGCCTTGGACCAAGCTTCCACCAACATATCAGTACAAGGTAACGTAACACACTCACACACACACTCACATACTGTATGTACAGGCAGAATGACACACATCTCATCACAACATGACAAAATGTAATCTGAACCATTTTTTTGGTTCAAGTATTCTTACAGCTTTGAATAGATAGGTCGGCGATGGTTGGTTTAGAGTTCCTCTTTTTGGTCAAAAATGCACCACAGCAGAGAGACCTGACCTGATTCTTATTTTGTTAGCCGACTGTTGCTTCACGATGTCGGCTACAGCGTTAGATCAGATGATGCCTAATATTTCTGAGAATATTTTGTGACAGTGTTTGGACAGTGAAGCTGGTTGGTCAATCAAAGGCCGGCAACTGAATAAATACATCCTACTTTTATTCTGTGATGCAGTCCATAAAAGTCTATAAAATATACAATCGTCATTACAAATATTTAATACATACACATCGTTCATCTTTTTCTTCTCTTTGTTCTTAACAGTTTGCTGCAGTCAGCACAGACTACCAAAGCCTGAAGAAGGAGGGACCTGACTATTAAATGTCAAACATGGAGGACAGGAAAGATCCAGTCCCAGGTTTATTGTCCCTGTGCACAGTATTGCAGGTGGAAGATGAAGTGAGTGGATCGTAATAACCTGGTGACTCTGTTAATGTAGCGGAATATCTCACCGTGGGAAAATATATAAAAACTGATGTAGAAAGATCCATAATTAACATGTGTTTATTGAAACAGAGAGAGTAGATGACGTGAGGTACGTAGGTTTGTGTATGTGCTTTGGTTTCTTCAGCTAGAAAATGTTCGTGGTGTGAAAATGTATGACTGAAGCCTTCAGTCAAAGATGAATTACAGTAGTTGATGCTTGTATAAATATTAGAGCATTACAGTAGACCTAAAAAATGACTGAGCATGCCGTGCAGGTCTTTTAAGACCCATAATAAAAAGTGGATTTAACAATACAGCACAGGTGATTATTTATTTAACCCTCTCTGCTGCAGCACATGGATTGTCAAGTCCATCTGTCCAGACTGTCTGTACCACCCCCCCCCCACCCCCGACCCCTACCCCAAGAATTATCACAAATGCGATAGATTAGCATTTGCTTAACTTCTGTGTAAGTAGTGGAAAATATCACAGAATCGCGGCTCTTAAAGGTGTACTATAAACAAACAATCTGTTTAGGTCACATGACTTTGATTTCAGAGCTTTTTATCTGTCCGTCTCCCACACACACACACACACACACACACAAACATACATAATACATGAACACATGGCAGGTGACTTTCCTCAAACACCTGCCTGCCACTGAGTCAGATACAGGTCTTTTTTTCCACATCCCAAGATAAAAATACACAATCAGTGACTATAAGAAAACAGATCCATCTGCCAACACTGCAGCTGTCACTGCACTGCTGCTGTGACTGCCTTTTGTGTTTTTCTGTGTCTTTGATCAGCTGCAGTAGTGGCAGTAGGATGTAGAACAGTCCCCCAGCATGTCATTGACGCATGACAGCAGAGAGTACAGGTCCACACACACATGCACTCACACACACATACACACTCCAGTCCACATCCCGGTGCCACTGTGTTCCTACTGCAAAACAAGCACTGCTGAGGCCAGTCCCTGGTGAAAAGTATAAGAACATGTTAAAACAGACAAAGAAGTATTTCATAAACGTAAAGTACCAATGTTTTAGGACGGACTCCAGTCGAGGGATTAAATCAAAGAAGGATTATAAAAACTCACAGGGATCTGTGTAATGACAGTATGAGGGCCAGTGACCTGCACTGATGGAAACTTTGGGATGAAATAATTTCCCTAAGGGAATTTTAAATGTTCTAAGATTCACACGCACACATGGAGGCAAACACGCCGTGTCAAAGGAGTTGTCAGGTCATGAGAAACAGACACAGAGATGAAGCAGATGAACTCTTATTTGTGTTGTGATGCTGACTGTGTCTGTGAGTGTGTGCTTTTGGGTCCTTGTGTTTATTTTCTGTGGACAGAGAGGAGAGCTTCCCCGACCTTAGACCCTACTTCTGCTGACCACTCTCTTTTATTTTGCAGACACCGCCACAGCACACATCCACTAAAAAAAGCAGAGAAACCAGATAATGTTGAATACATTTTGGAAACTTTGTGTTGCAAAAACATCTTTTTATTTCTGCCTTAAAAAATCTAAGACTTTTATATTGCATTAGATCTGTAAGGATTCTTGAGCATGTAACAAGATAAAACTACTGCCTAATGGTCTCCCCAGAGTGCTTTGTTTTCTAACACCAAAAAATCTGTGTCACATTTGGAATAACTGCCTTAGCCGGTACAACAGTGAAACACTGAAAGAAGGCTTCAAACCAAGACACACTGGTTTTTAAAGAACAACTTTCCTCACGCACACACAAAACTGTTTTTATAATAATGTTATGCCATGTGAAATTAAACGGAGACATATACGTGCATTTAAACGCAGCTGAGTCCTGACTGGTTTGTTTGGCCTCAGCTATCTTCCTGTCAGATCTGTGTCCCTGCAGAGATCAGATTTGCTTTTCTTTTTCTGGAACAATCCCTGAAGCTGACAGATGAGAGATGACCCGAGGAAATGCCAGCAGCTTGACACGAATCTGTGTTTAGAGAATCTGAGCAGTCTTCAACTTCCTGTAAATGTAAACACAAATCCAACAGGAACAGTGCAAATCACAACAGAGAGATTTCATTGGACAATTAAGTCCAAATGTTTTCCTTACAGTGCGGATCACATTTAAAGGGAAAGTTTAACTGGAGATGTCATGACTTACTTTGGAAGTGTTTGTTATCCTTAGTGAACTTTTTTGGGTTAAACCTGAGTGTGCCTTCAGCTGCTGTGAGTTTCCTAGGGCTTGGCACAAAGCCTGTCACTGAAGAGGGTTTTTTTTTTTAATTTAGAGACAAAAAGCTTCAGTACTGAAGTAGACCTCTTAGACTGCATTATCCCAACAGATATTTGACCGTCGTTTGATATATGCAACATGGTTCATGTTGAACATTCCATGTGTTATTTACTTTACTAAGTGTTCACTCAGGTTTTATTTTAATGGATCAAAAGCATGAAATACAATATTTATTAAATACATTTATACATTCAATATAGTGACCAGTGTGTCCAATAAAATCAAAACATATTTGAAAAAGGTATTGCAAAAATACTGTTGTTCTTACAGTTTATTAAGCAGTGCATTGTCACTTCTAAAATGAACTTACACGTTTACACTACATACCATTACTATATACAGTATGTAACAGGTCACATCTTGCCGATGTCATACTTTACTACATATTTAGTTCCGTTTAGAGCTGCATTGCAATGCAAAATGGACCTGAGCAGGAAACAGAGACGTTGTGTTTTCAGTGGTCAATGAAACCTGGCGTGAGGAAGGGCCTGGCGAATAGCTCCACCCGCTGGTGGAGCTCTGCTACAGTATGCGACAGGACCGTCAACAGGAAGTAATTTGAAGTTGGACTGGCTTCCTGTAGAGTTCAAAAGAAGGGCTTCAACAGTAACTTTCAATGTTGTATAACCCAAATGTTGTTAACCTTCCTAATGCAATGGACTAAGCATCCGAAACGCTTAACTACGAAATGCAAAAAGCTAAAAACTGTTCTTAATTCTCTGTGAGTATGACCCTTAATAAATGGGGCATCCAAAAAAACTTAGTACACAGTGAAAAGGGCATCTTTACATGATAACTGATGCTATGTTAGGCTGCTCACACTGACTAATTAAGCATCCTGTATGTAACATCAAACATGCATAGACATATAATAGTCAAAATGTGATTCTGGACATTAAATACAAAATCAGTTTTTAAGATATTTGTTATAAATATCTATAAATTAATACCAAACACTGTAGTCTGTTCTCTTTGTTTCATATCTTCTTTTTTTTTTACCGCACTGCTTCCGGTCGTTTATATTTATGCTTCTTATCCAATCGTATTTCAGTCTGATGCGTCGCCAGGTTCAAAGAAATCTGCCTTAAGACCTTCAAACAGTATTGCAAGTGTTGTCTGAATAAATGGCAACCAAAATGTTTCTTTAGCCAATCAGATTTTTAAATGTTCCACTCCAAAGCGTTCTAGAAACTGTACAATTACGCTGGCGTTTTAAGTGCTTTGATTGGATGGTCAAAGAACACGGTCTCAAATCTAGCAAACTACAAGTCTTCAGTTTTTGTCGATGGGAAACTTTCAGAATAAAGCGAATTTAAAGCTGTTTTACGAGAGCAATTGAACGGCTCATACAAATAATCCGAAGTTTCGGTGAGTAAAATTGATTTGGTTTCTTTTTTATGATATTGTTATTTTATTATGTAGTAATGATTATATGTAATGTGCTGCAGCTGTGGTTGAATTGTGCTACGTGGGTTTGTTGCTTTAATATCTATGATGAATCGTTACATTCAGTTCTGCATAATGTTGATGCCATGAAGTTATTACGGAGGAGGGTTTATTTAAACAGGGAGCCACTGAAGGCCCAGGTGAAAAATACACATCCGGCCTCTGCTAAAGATATACTGTATATTTTTGAAGTTCATTGATGTGTTCAGTCCTATAGAGCATCAGGGTCTAGACTTTCTTTTGATGAATAGTCATGGTTTTAGTGTTAAGTAGCTAGATATTTAGACATGATTCTTGGGCTTCAAGTGCAGTACAGTTGTGACAGAGAGAACAGAAAGGCTGCAGTTTCAAAATCCACCGTGCACTTTTGATTTATCCCACATGCAATACACAACATTTAAACAAAAATTCCATGACAAACATAATAACAGACAGAGCAAACTGGGATGATAAATGAGGGAAGATCCACTGAAAGTAGTAATATCTGTTGCATACATTCAAACTAAGGGCCAGATACAGCCCTGTGATAAGCCAAAAAATAAATGCAAATATAAAAGTGATAAACTATTGGAGGTATTACAGTTGTATCATTTGAGGACATAAATAGAATCTTACTAAAGCTAAATCACCATGGACACAACCAATGTGACTGTGAATTGCAGAGTAGCAGCAAAAAACACTGCGATCACTCAGGTGTGCTCCTCTCTATTGGAAGTCTCAGCCTTTAGTAGAGACTAACAGCACATACACACAGGACATCTGTCCCTCTGACTGTTTTGAATGTCTAATCGCTGGAGACTAACTTGTTAAAACCTTTGATGTACCAACAGCGGGTGAGGTGAGACACTGATAGACACAGTAGACTACTCTGTGAACCTCCTGGCATTAAAAATATAAAAATCCAGATAGCTGTATTCACTATAGTTTCTCAGGTTTAAATGGTTGTACACATACACACAAGTGTATGTTCAATTTTAAGAAGTTAAGTTTAATAAACAACAACATAAACTGCAGCAAAAACTGCAACATGAATGAGGGGGGTCACACAACACATGAATGAACAATGTTTTTAAAAGCTTAACAATTCAGTTGAAACATGATGCTAAAATACGCTCAACCAACATAATGTGACTAATATTAAAATCACTACTGCTTTTGCTGGATTTCTTTAAATTCGGGTCTAACCTCTTTACTTTACTGTTTATCCTCTAGCTGCAGAAAGATCTGTGTCTCTGGTTCATCCTGAGCCAGGCTGTCCTGTCATGTCCAACCACTGGACTCCCTGCCTAACCCCAATGTGTCCAGGAGGTTTTGTCCAAAGCATCAACACACTGAGAAAGTGGGTCTGCAGCAAGAGTTAGTGGAAAAACACCAATGGTAAGAACTGCTTTATTTCACCTAGAAACTGCATTTCCAGTTTCTTATAAGAAGTGAAGTCGACATATTCAAAATGAGAGAGCTATGGTTGAGGTTTCTAGTAAGATCATTAGCTTTACTTACCTCAACCTTTAATTAAATTAAAATCTATAAGGATCCTCTAAGGTTCTAAAGGTGGAAAATTGTGGAGTTCCTGATCGTCCAGTTCTATTGTTCTCCTTTGAAACCCTGTTCAAAATCACTTTAATAACGTATATTTTCAGAATTGGACTAATGTGGACTTTTCATTTCTGTAATCATCCAAAATTGCAATCATTATGTTTTCAAAGCCTTGAAATTTACTTCCAATTCTCCTCTGAAGAAACAAACATTAGGACAAACAGTCGCACTCGCTTCTCTAATGACAACAATCACAGAAATACGGTCATATTTATCCATATGGACTGACAAAAACTGACAAAACAACATGGTGACATACACACAGTGTACAAACTCAAAGCAGAGATTTCTATCAGAGCTAAGGTGACATATGTGGCCTCGTATGCTTTTCTTAATAAGACAAACTTTTATTGGTAGCCAAACAAGATTGTTCTCACAGACACAGGAGGTTGGAGCATGTGTGTCGAGCCTCTGAAATTAATACATGGTTAAACAGACTGGAAAGAAGTGTAGGAATTTGTTTGAATTTGCAAACTTTGTGTAACTGAAAAAAATGATAACAGTAAAACAATAGTCTTTGAAGAATAATTATTTTATTAATAATAGCTGCTGTGAATCTGTTCCCAGTCCATGTTTCCAAAGAATACAGACAATTTTAACATGTATGTCTAAACATACGGTTTTTATTTATCTTGTTGTAACCTTCAGTTTATTATCCACCAAAATTGTCTAGCCATCCTGATTTATAATTTGGAGCCTAAACAAACCTTTGACACATGGAGCCCACATGGACATGCTGACGAAGCAAACATGTTAATTGACAGCCTTAGAGAAGAACAAAATCAATCAGTTTATAAGAATGCTTTTCACTGGCTGATTGTAGTTTCAGAATACACAATGATTATATTCCAGTGATGTACGATCAGAAAAGCATCAGAAAAATGATTTAATATTCATTTTTCTTCCTCCCACTTTTTTCTGCCAAAAGACTTACATGAATGAAATGGTTTCACTGACTGCATCCTTTGGTGAAATGATTAAATGATGAAAGACAACATTTGTTATTGCAGTGTGGTCCACACTGGGTATCTACCAATTCACCATTTCCCCTCCAAGTCAACTGCAGTATATCCTGGTACTTCCTGTTGGCCTGTCCCAGGTCAGAGGTGGATGTACTACTCTAGATTTTTCCAGGAAAATGCTCCGTGTGGGTGGGGATAAAATATATTTCCAAGAATAGCACGGTTCTGCTAAACGAATCAAACGCTAAAATACTCCAATGTTTGTTGACTGTTGTTTAAGTCAAATAAGGACCTCTGATCATAAAACACTTGACGTTCAGAATGACATTCCAATTCACAAGGATACATTCTTTACATTTGATCTGTTCAAAAGTTAACAAGTAAATAACAGGGATAACAAAGAGAAATGAGAATGGACCAATAAATGATGTGTAAAATCACACTGTTTACTTTACATGTGTGCTAATGGCAGCAAAATTGTCAGGATTGGATGTATGACGTGTCAGTGCTGATATTTCAGTGTCCACTTCCGACATAATTTGTCATCCGAAGTGTTGCTGCTGCTGGTTCTCCGTCTGAAAGTTGTGGTCTGGACAGATTTTCTGCACGAGCCTATAATCAGTGCCAGTGAAGACGATGAAGATGCATATAACTTTGAAAGGTTTGGCACAGATCCAGGCCGCCTGGGACTGGGTGTTTTCTGAGTAGCAGGTCTCCCCCGGGTTATACATGCAGGGCTTGGTCTTCTTGGATCGATTGGTTCTCTGGTATTCAATGCGGCAGTTGAGTTCGGTCATCGTCAGGTCCTGCTGCTGCTTCTGCAGGTCAGGATGGGTGGAGCTGGTGGAGTGAGGGGGGCTCTGAAAATGAGGCGTGACATTAGAAACCAAGACGGAGTTTTTGGGGTGCACACTTTGAGACGCAGGATACAGAACCTCCCATCCCACAGCTTTGGAGGGCGGGACGATGCTGACGGATATGTTTCCCAAACGGGATGAGTTGTGCCTGAAGTAGACGCTAAACGTCCCATTGATGTGGTCTACAATTTTACCGGTCACCAGGAGGCTGAATTTCAGTGTCTTCACATTGAAGTAGAAATCACCCCAACCCAGGATTTTTTTGGCCTTTGGTGAGGTCTTTGCCGGAGATTTGGATTTGGAAGCAGCTCGATACTGATACTGTTCCATGGCTTGGGAGACATTTTGTGGCCAACCATATGGACCAAGTGAACCATAAGCAGGAGTTTTATGTTTGGTGGAGATGATTTGCAAATCCTTAGAGATGTGTTTAACCTTCAATGCAGCTCCCACTGCTCCCTCTCTTCCTCCCTCATCCTCCATCCACTGCTGACTGTCAAAGTCCAAGGGATTGGCTGTTTCCTGAACCTATGAAGGACAAAACATAAATTAAAGTACTTTGGCAGCGTTCATTGACTTTGATACTGAAGCTAATGCTGAATTACTCAACTTAAACCCATATCTTCTTTATATCTAAGTAATGGCATTACTTTTGTGTTTGTGATTCTCGTATAAGTGAAACTTGATACTCAAATCAATATATTTCTGCTTATATAATTTTAGTATTTCACATCGTAAGTTCTTCACCCAGAGTCTAAGTCACTGAAAGGGACCTTTAGTTACGTCCCCAGGGTTTTTGAGGCATATCAATTTTAGTGCTGTGGAAATGACAGGTCATACATGAGAAAGAGAAAGCCAGAGCGCTTCAGATCAAAACCCGACGTCCACAAATGAAGGACAGTTTGACTGTAGCTTCTTTACAAAAGAGTCAGATAATCAATCCTAATAATTATGCGTTGACATGACAGGTCCATTAAATTGGAACAAATTGAAATTGGCTGTAATCAATACTGCAGACGGGCTCCTTCAGGCAAGGACAACAGGAAGCAACGTGCCCACACTCAGACAGAAAGTCACAATCATATTTCCATGAGCACATTTTAATTTGGACAACTTCCAATGTCCCTTTCTCCCATGGCAAACTCTGCAGTTCAACCTTGATACTGAGCAGTTTTTTTTAAGCCTAATTGATTAATATGCTAAAAATAGAAGCACATACTGACAGTGTATGTATGTATCACAGGATTCACTTAATGATGGCGAATTACATAAGCTAAGTTAAAGTGTAAATCTATCCATCCATCCATCCATCCATCTATTCATCCATCCATCTATCTAATCTCTCCTGCCTGTTTGTTCAAACAAATGCTCTTCAAATTTATTACATGACAATTTTTTACTTTCCTTTTTTTTACCCTAAAGAAATTCAGGTTTTATTGGAACATCTTACCATTGTATTACCTTGTTTGAGCAGCAGTTCATGTTTTATTCATCATCATTATTCTTTTTCAGCTCCTGTTTTCTCTCATTTTATGGTGAATAAAGATAAATTACATCTCCTAAGAACACAAAATCATACAAGATAATACGTCCTGGATGCAACTTTGCATATTATTATTATAATAGGCTATATCAACAAAACAGCCGTGCGAGTTTAAAAATACTGAAACGTTTTTTAAATTATATATATATTCAAATTATTTGGTTTTAATGAAATGCAACCAAAGTATTGAAAACAGTGTTAATTTTTGACACCTACACAGGCCATATAGATGTAGCCCTGAAATAAATGAAATGCTTATGAGTGGGTTGTGACACTTGCTATGATGTATAACTGGGAGAGAGTGGAGCTGTCTAAAAGACAAGAAGTTAATCTGGCAGAAGCAGAGGTGGTACAGGATTACAATGAGCAGAACAGAGGAGATGGACAGAGACAAAGGGGACAGAGAATGTTAAAGACATAGTTGCCAGGCAAGAAAGGGGAAAGTTAGCATTGAAGATTTATGGATGCAGTGAAAATCGGGTTCAAGATTTTTGGTGCAACACATGATAACGGAGAAGGAAAAATTCAAACAAGTTCATATGTGGAATATTAGTCTAAGTGACATTCAGAACCGTTGTTTTGGGTGGAAATTAATCTTATTATATAAAAATTATATTAGAACAGCTATTCTGGTCCTCAACTTTAACAACTTCAACACTCCTTTAGAAAGAGTTTGAAGAACCTTTTTTTAAAATATTGAGTCGAGCCAAAGGTTTCTTTGCATTTGTTGTCTAGGATTGCATTTCAGGTTTCATCATAATGCGTCGCAGGCAGGTGGAGGGTTTAGAATTATTCCTTTTCACATTTCTGAATAAACAGCTCCTTGGTGGGATATCATTATTTCTCCCCAACAAGTAGGTTTCACATCACCTCTAACTACCTCAGCCCCGTGTGCCAATCTCTGCCTCCTCAAGGAACAAAGTGAGCGCCAGCTGTGCCTATTGTTACAAGCCTAAATCACCCACCACGGGCTGCTCTCACCTTCTCTAATTAGAGCCTGCTGTGTGACAGCTGTGTCATTGGCTCTGTGTCAAGATGCTGCACAGTGACTGCAACTGAGCAGCGGCAGAGGAGTGGATGCATAAAGCGCATCACCTGTGAGAAAACACCTGCCGTACAGAAATACTGGGAATCCCTAACTGTAATTACAGACTGAAGACACAAACGTTTTTTTTGCCAATGGCTGGAGAGACCATTAACAGAGAAAATGAGTGAAGCTCAGGAGTTAAAAACCAATCCTCAGCAAGATTTTGGCCCGGTAATATTATACAGGAAGTGCAGTGAATCATGAGCTTCTTATGAAAATATTTATTAAACCAATCATGTTTTTTTCTTTTTCATCATTTGTTTTCATAAATCACTATTTATGAAGAAAGCCAACTGTGGCCTCTCTGTGACCAGTGCATCTAAACTGACAAATTCTCATGTCTGGAATTGTGAATCATGTTACATTGCATTTGTCATGATATTTCAAACATGTTCAGTCGTCATTGTGGAAGAAAACTTATTTGACTGTGCATTGTGTATTCAAAACTAGCACAATTTCTCTCTTTTCCTTACTTTTGCCTCTTCTGCTGCTACAACTGCTAATATTTAATATACAACGACAACAACCAATTTAGGAGGAGCGACAAAATATTGTATACCAACATCTCTTCTTAGTTTTAACTACTGTCATTTTGACTTAAATTTCCAAACTAAATAAATAACATCGCATGATACTGTCAATCTGTACTTGATCTCAACTTATTAGTCCTCTAAAAGCACAATCTGTTTTAAATTCAAGGCTGAAGTGGCTTGATACGTATTCACTGAAACCCCAAATAAGGTTCAAATCCTGCATTAAGTGTGGAATATGTCCTTATGTTGTTATGTACAAAGCAATGCAGGATTATTAACTACAGCAGGGCCCCATCAACATTTTGTTTATAAATGCAGCAGAGAATCAGAGCAGGTGACTGATGTCACTCACCGCTGAAGGCAGAATCCACAGACAGCTGATGGCAAAGTTCAAACACAGCACCTTCATTTTAATGCAGCCACAGCAACAGTTCACATGCAGAGAAGACCCAAAAACCTGATGAAGTCAAAGACCTGCAAATTAGTCCAAATTAAAGAGCGGCAAATGTTCTGCACTCTTATCATAAGTGGAGAGTGAACATGACCATGAACAATCCAGAAACACGGAGTGAGTCTAACTGTTCCTCCGTGCTCCTTCAGCATAAGAGGATCTCTCCCTCCACCGCCTCTTACTCTCTCTCTCGCTCTCTCTCTCTCTCTTTCTCTCTCTCTCTCTCTTAACTGTTTAGCAGCTATCCTTGTTAGGGCGGCCCCTCCTACCACCCCATTTGTAGCAGAGCCTTCATTCCTTGACTGTTGACATAAAGTGGGCAAAATTAAAGAAAAGATGAAAATTTCCATCTCTCACCTTATTGGTCCTTTTGTAGTATATGGCAGTATCTTCATCTACAGGGAATTTGCTCTCATTTATTTTCTCTTCTTTTGCACGAAGTAACCGTGTCAAAAATGTATACAAGTGCACAATAGACCCACTTGGGGGCAGTAAAGCCACTTTCAAGATTTAAAACATTTAATTAAAGAAATTCCAGTTAGTTCATACATGTGCAATGTACTGCACACAAACTTAGTATACACTGTAGTACACATTGCAGAGTTTTGCTGTGTTCTGTGGCTTACCCACTCCTGATTGTTTCCATTCATGGTTCTTAAAGACTAGCAGCAAGTATGAGTCTAGTAATGCCCTTTAAAAAAATTGTTGTGAAATAACGAAATGAAAGAGAAAGTGAGATGTGACGGTGAGGTGAGGTTGTACTTCACCAGGTCACCTCCTTTGTTTTTCTTGACTCTCTTTTCCATTTTCTTTTCCACATTTATAATCAAATCACTTGGATTAGTCACTAATAAAAAAGGTGTGAAACACATGTTCGTATTTCTGTCCTGGCATTATACAAAAAAAAAATGTTTTGGGTCATCTATAGGTTTACTAAGGATTAACCAGGATGAATTACATTCATGATGAATTATTATTTATAACAGCTTCCCTGTGATTAATCACACTAAAACATGTAATTGTTTGACAGCCCTTCCCTCACGCTTAAACTTAACACTAACCTAATTGGATTTGATGCTACGTCATTACATTTTCTACAACCAGGGCCTTAAGTAAGGTTTTTTTCTTTTACGTTTCTACATTCCTGTCTGCATTAGGACTACTGATTCTAAAAAAAGTCTGTAAACATGCCAGCAGTATGCTTACATATAGGTAACAAAACATGAGCTATCTCTTTCTTTCTCTCTCTCTGGTGAGTGACACCACCTGGCCAGTCCTTGTTATGACTCATCATGCCAGGGTACGACGCTCAGAGACAGGATCAGTTTGACAGTCCTCCCCACTGTCGCTGCATACTTTAACCACAGGGAGGCTGACAAAATGACAAGTTCTCTCACCGAGAAATGTAAAAATCCCTGACAAGGCTGCTGAGATCCTGCCACTGCTTCAGCCCGTCAGAGCAAAGTCAAGCCAACAAATGACTGCAGTGTTCTCACCAAGCAGACAAGTCGTCTAATACAAATGTAATAGAAGCAGCAGTGGAAACGTTCAAGCAGCTCCTTGCACTGAGCTCATTAACAAAGGCTACATGAAGCCTAATTATTGAACCATTGTGTTTTTAACTACTTTCAGAGAATCATTTACCAACGTTTCTATATCAGCTTCAACGTCTGCCCTACGAGTCCGTCTTGAATCTGTAACTAGAATTAAACATCAGCTTCATGAACTTCATAAAATCCAGCCTGTCATTAAAATGTTCATGTTCAATTCTACTACATATTAGCAGGGATGTTGTAAAATTAAGTAACTGTGGGGAAATTCTTTTAAAAATGTATCCGTAGAGTCATACAAAAGTAAATACACTGTCTCCAGAAGCTTTTGTAAGAGTTTTTTGAGCTTTTTTTTAACTGTAGCTCTTGTTGGTGTAAATGATTGCCAGTGGAAAATAGACCCACCAGGTGGCAGTATTGTATAGAGTATGTATTGATACACATTTTGTCACTGCCAATTTGACCTTTTATAACATGTTTTATTCAAAACAATGCCAATGCAAACCCTCATATTATCAAGTTGACTCTAGTCTGACATGTGAAACCTTTATCTGTAGGTATTTGGTCGATTTATTAATGTGCAATCATTTCGGTTACATAAAATTCCGTTCTCAAAGAATCTTTCAATGTTGTCTTTATTTAATTAAAATAAAGCAATATACACATTAAAATAGCATTAGGGATACTACAGTATGATCACTAACAAGAAGTAAATAGAACACGCACAGTGGTATTTTTTATTACCTATCACCAATAATAATTATATTAATTATTTTTAAACTTTGACATACTTATCCAGTTACACATTAGGATTCAATGGAGTTTCTGTGTGGCTGCTATATTCATTTATATTCACGTAAATCTGTTTAGTAGCAGCCCTTAATTAGTTGTTATAAAGTATTTATTAACAACATGACTGTCCTTGTGACTATAATCAATTAATATAATATTGTAATAGTGTTTGTGGCTAATGTATTGTTGTTAATGGTTTACATGTGTCCACTGATTAAGAAGTGTAAATCTCTGTACCTAAAATGTGTTTTTTAAAACACTGTTTTTTAAAACTTTTTGCCTCAATTGTTCAGCTGTTTTTTGCAACTTTCCTCAAGGCTCTATGGCTATCTTGATCTACTGTACACCTAACAGGCATAACCTAATGACTATGTTTATTTATTTTTATTTAAATTGTGCAAACCACAAAAAACCCTATGCACCGTTTGGCTTGAGCATGGGTGTAAATTTCACACATTTGTTGATAAACATTACTGCTCTTTTTGCCTCCTTTAGGTCAAAGTTGAAGGAGCACATTGCCCCTGTCTGAAAGGCAGGTGGGTTTCCAGGAGACTGATGGAGAGTACGACACTGGTTTAAAATGCAGGACGAATGTCTCTTTATGTCACAGTGATCTCCTGCAGAAGATCAGCAGGGAAGTAGCCCAGCTTGCGTCCAGTGCTGACCTTTAGGTAGCCACCTTTTTCGTCTCCTTTCTTCACCACAATCTGAAACAAAGTGTATATAATTAAAATGTCTTTTTAGTTAGACCTGAACAAGGTAATAAGGACAGTGTTGTGGAATATATTGTGAAATGTTTCAGCCATTACTGTATTGAGAGAGATGGCTAAAATTTGAAGCATCGAAAAAAGGATTAAAAATGACCTGTCATTGATCAGCTCTCTACTGTGTAGTTACCTGATCTTTCTTCAGTGTGATTTGTCCCATCTCTCTGTTCCCAACGAAGGAGCGTGTGACTTTGAAGACTCTCTCTGATGCACGCACTTTGATTAGGTAGTTGGTGGGAAAATATCCTGTCTTGTCTCCCATTTTTCCCTAGAAACACAGTCAACAAACACAGTTTCCATCTTGAAAAATATTTAAAAAAATCAAAACACAGAAAAACAAAGCTGAAGATAAGGTTGATTTGGTGCTTTATAATGAAAACTTTAAACTCACTCTCCACCACTCTTCATTGGAGTCATCAAGAACCGTTATCCGGTCTCCAGGGCTGATGAGATGAGATGAAATATTTGCAGGTTATCTTTTAGGGCATAGTTTAGCATTAATACCAATTATTTTTCTTTATTTTTATTTAATTTAATGCATACTGTTTTCTGTGTGTGTCTTTCAGACTTACTGGAAGTCAAGGTCATCTTTCTCAATGGCCTTGAAGCGATAGAGAGCCAGATAATAGTGGGACTGGGAGAATGTTCCCTTACTCTGGAGAGAAGAGCACAGACGCTGCCGTGTTTTACAGCTGATAATGGACTCATTACAATAACAGGTAAATGTACCACGTTGCTGCTACTTTCTTGTCACCTTGTCGTCTGCTTTGTCTCCTCCTTTCTCTTTCTTGTCATCTGGCTTCCCTGTGAGACATAACAATCAACAACAAAGGCCAATTTTTTCCAATAATGGTAATACCATCAAGATTGAAACAAAAAAGAATAATAGCCATTTATTTATATAAATAAACTCTTTTTACCTTCTCCTCCCTCTTCATTCTCTTTGGGCTGCTGGTTTTCTTCTTCCTCCTCCTCCATCATCATTATCTGAACAACCAATATAGGAACATTTTCATTTTATATTTTATAACCTGATTTCATTCATTCATTTCAGGGCAGAATGTGTAATGCATGTACTGTAGACAAGTCCTTCTCCATATTTAAATAGCAGACATTGTTGTGTGCACTCACGTTCTTCTTATCATTTTCATTCTTTTTTCGTTCCTTATTAGCCATAATGACACCAACACGCAGGGTGTCAAAGACAGGGTCATTCCGGTTTACGTTGTCTGGTCAAGGAACAGAGAAATGTAACTGTTTGTGGTGCATGAAAAACTGCCTCAATCAAAATAAGTAGATGAAAATAATTTAGAAATATAGCAAAAAATATCAACAAATGAAAATAATAATAGAATCAATAATAATATACCAACAGACCAGAAAAGGCGTAGGTTTCCTTATTTTGTTTCTCTGTTGTTACAGTACTGTCGACTGTTTGCATAGTTATTTATGTCCTGTCCAATCTGTCTCTTCTGTCTTTAAAAAATATCTTCACACTAAGATGAAATGAGAGCCAGCGTCACTCAGGACTCACTTGAATCTGGTTGGTCGCTGCTGTACAGGGGGGAGCTGTAGGCTCTTCTAAAGCCAGGTGGCTAAAATAACATCAGAGAACTGTTGGTTTTACAATAAGCAATGGGATGTACATAACTTTATATTTCTTTAAAAATCTGAATATTGTCGGGAATTAGATCAGGCAGAAGGACTCACAATTTTGCCAAAGCATCTCTGGAACTCGACGTATGACTGACACGAGTGGTGGATGTTGGTCTTGCAGTTTTTACATCTCAGAGCGAACTTGTTATTCACTGAAAGACAAAAAAACGTCTGTGAATCCAGTCACAAATTAAAAATAAAATTGTTAACAATTTTAAAGATGAATTCAAACTTTTTCATGTAATTTCCAGTACATACGGACTATCATGCGAGCACAAACATCACAGAACTTGGGTTTCTTGCAGTAATGGTCCTTGAACTTGTGGGGTTTGTCATTAACTCGAATAACAGGATCAGGAGGAGGCTCTGGTTCCTTCTCCTCCACCTCCACCTCCTCGTCGTATATGAAATAGACCTAGAAATCAATATATAATTAAAAATGGTAGTTAATCAATTGATGGAGCAGTAATTCAGAAATGTAGATCATGTTGAATCAAAAATGAAGTCATGGCTCATATTTTTCTCCTTGATGTTGTACTGTGTTCCAGTTTCAGCTCAGGTCTATTTTAAACTGCCCAGCTGCACAGCTAATACTGGGGGTGGGTGGTAGGGGGTATTTGACACATTCCTGTCACTCACAGTGTCTCCGTCTTCCTTCACTACATTGTCAGGAACTGGAGGGTTGTCATGAATATCCAAAGAGTTTTTGTCTTCCTCGCTATAATGTACAGAGACAAAAACAGCCACAAGTGAAACCAAGTGACATGCAGTAGCCGCTATACAATTCATTACCATGTTTATGCAAAGTTTTTAACTTTCAAGATCAAATTCAAGACCTCATGATGCTAAAAAATTAACCTTAATATGTAAAGTGAGAGTGTAACACAAAATGGCTGGACATCATGTTGTGACCTGAAGTAATTGACATCTGTTTTCAGTGTCAAATGGCCATTCCATTTTAAAATAGTTGAGCATTGATTATTTTGAGATACACTATTGGTACATACTATATTTATATATATTTTCTTTTAATTAATAGAGATTTTATTTTTTTAATTTAGAGAAACTTGTGAATGATTTTGAAAGATTGTACTTAGTAAAGAGGTACAAACAAACAGTATGATTTCATGGATACACTCACAGGTCCATGATGGCTGCTGGTTATTGCCCCTTTCTTGAACACCTAAAAAGATATGTATTTATGTATTGAGTTCTTGATGTATGTATGAATATGTTTATTTAGTGGTTGGGAAGGACATCCACATATTTTCATGGACAGAACAAAATTAATCATATAAAATACTTAAGGGAAATCCTGATCTCCCAGTGATACATAAAAAATCACAAATAAACGTATTAATTATAGTGTAAATAAACTATAGTCAAATAGATAAATGTTTGACAAAAACAACAGACTATCATGCTCAAATACAGAAATAGACTAAAACAATGAATATTAGTCAGAAAAAGTAATACAAGTAGCAAAAATTAAATAAAGGGATCAAATTAATAGATTGAAATGGCTAAGAAAAATAGATAGAGAACAAATATAGGTTAGGCTAGAAAATAGTCACTCCTAGTTACTAAAAATCAAGAATAGTTCCAGCACTGTAAGAAATAACTGCATCCAGAAATTATAGACTGGATTATTATTTGAAACTTTCAAGGTCATAAAGCGCTGTTGTGGGTTAATGTGTAATAAAACACAGATGAATGGAACACACAAGCAGGAAATTAGATTTGGTAAACAAACTTTTACTTCACGTTCAATATTTTGTCACCCATTTAATACTGCCACATTTGACTACAAACACAACTAACAGTGTAAGACATGGTGCATGTAGTATTATGAAGGATGTATCAATGTTAATGTAATATTTCCATCTTGCAGTGAAGGTGTTAGACTGTTAGACTGCACTTGCTCCCATGACCAAAACTATTCAGCGGCTCTGAAACTGGATCTAATCATAACTAAATCTGGGTTCCTCTGCAAGTAAGGATAATTGTAGCACCACTAGAACTATTTAAACCAAACTTAGGTCATGTAGTAGGTAAACACTCAACTGACAGACTCATCAAGAAAATTCAAACAGCAGTGGAGTACAAACCTGGTCAGTTGGTGTCTGAATCCTTCAACTGCTTGTGATCACGTAGGCTGCACGTCCCAGAGGTATAAATCTCACTGACCAGCTGACCCACCTGCTTCTATACTAAACGTCTAACAGATTCAGACTGGACACTTGCGTCTGTTCCTTCCTCAAGGCTGTTTTAGGTTATTTCCACAGTAAACTAACGACTGACGTGTGTGCTTAAGTTGATAGTTGTATAGTTATCTATTATTTGTGCGTGGGTGAGTTTGTGTGCTTGGTGGGCTGAACACTTGTGTGACAAGCTGAGGGTTAGCGACAGCTGTGGACCTCAGACTGAGCACAGTTGACGAGGGGAAATCAGATACCATTTCTCTGTGTGTTCATTACGCATATAAACACACCTCTTTCCCAATTTTCACAGGAAGCACGCTCAGGGATACAACATTACAGCACATGAGGTGCAAAAGATATTGGAGTGCATAAGTTATTAAGTCAAAGCTGTATCATTGTGAAATGACTGAGAACAGACCAGAGCATAATGTCATTAATGTGAATAGTTAACAACCAGGTTAATTACTTTGTGTTTTCCATTCATTTTCAAGTTTTAAAAAAATAATATATGGCAGTTGTGGACAGTGGTATGATAAATTTCAAAGTGATCCAGATGCAAAAATATCCTTAAATCTGACGAGTTAATTACCAGATCCAATGGTTACAATCTGCTATCTACGTACACATTTATACATTTTAAATGTTATAAATTGAGTTTAAATTTTTACTTTTGAAAAATGTAGGCCTCTCAAATGAAGCTGAATTTGTCAGCTGTCAGTTGTTAAAATGTCTTGCTTTCTGAAGAAACAGATAGGAAGTAATGGCTTTACCCATAGTTTTAGCCAAGGGCCACTTGGCCCTAGAGCCTTATGATTTCTACGTGTGCATTAGAGTAAAAACAAATGAGGAGTGAAAAGCAGACGGCACCATGCATCTTGTTTTCTGCTTCTATTCTCTCTCTCTCTCTGTCTGTCTGTCTCTACCCCCCTCTCTCTTTTAGACACGCACGCGCGCTCTCACACGCACATACACACGCACACACACTGCCCTGTCTGGAGCACTACAAAGGTCCCGGTGCATGTCGGGTACAATAGTCCCTCATCAGTCAGTGCGCATGCCCGACAAAAACTCCATTATTTTTTTTCTCGGAATCAGTAAGAAAAGAAAACAGTGTGCCACGGTGAATTTTGGGATTACATGGATTCACATTTTTATTATGGTTGCGGGGACCACAGTCAATGTTGGACGGTATAGCGGGTCGGAGCCTGTAGTGCGGGCCGTAGGGTGCTGAGCAACGGGAGCGTAGCGGGACATCCTCCAGCCTGGTCGGGACTCTCCACAATCAAGTACATTTCACTCACAGTTAGCTCTGTTAGCCTAGCGGTTGTGTTTCCTAAGTAGCCACAAATGTAATCCTTTACTGCCTTTGTTTTTCAACACGCCTGGCAGATGCTTCTTAAATGCTAAGTGCTGACCAACTGTGCAATCGTGAGAAATAAACAGTTGAATATTTTAAGTAACTGCTGTTTGTTAACCGCTTTCAAAACACTTCATCTGGGCTAGTCCGTTAGCTCAGCTGCTAACTTTGGATTCTCCCGCGACCCCAAAAGCCAGTAGTCTAAAAACTTGGCCAAGCAGTGTAACAGAGAGGGTCAGGGTCCCGCTAACATTGACGCCGGTTTACTTCTCTCAGTGAGTAAGAAGGTGGGGAGAGTCTGGAGGAAAATTGTGTAAACTTGTGCATTTATTCTTGTTACCGAAGCTAAGACGTAAGAGTTGGTGTTGGCAGTTTTGTACGCTGACAGCTGTCACCACAGTACTATTTAGCTAGCTGTTAGCCTAGCGGCTAACTGCGCTATAGTTTAGTTACATAAGTGTTCATCTCCTACAGAATGCAGATGTTGTTATTTATCATCTGCATTCGGGGATTTTAAATGTAAATCCACAAATCATAAAGATAATGTGCAGACAACTGTTTTATAAAGACACTAAAAGTCCAGTTATAGCACGGGCCTGTAAGAACACACCCTCCCACTTCAGAGCTTCAGGACAGCCGAGTCCCAAACTAATGTTGTTATATATTTCGCTGATTTTATGTAATATTTAAAAGGTACTTTTCCCAAGTGTTTTAACACACTGCATGGAATTTCTGAACACATTAAATTCATTTAAAAAGTTTATTTTATTTTGTATACCGAAACAATTGAAATTGAAATTATTGTTTGTCTAAAACTGATAGTCTGACACTAGTTTTCCTAAATAACAAATCGCAGTCAATTGCGTCGCAAATTCTCCAAAGGCATCGCAGCCCACCTCCAATAAATGTCTTCAATTATTTCTGCCTATAGTCTTTCTGGACTATAGTCTTCAGTTCTCTCCACAGATTTTCTTTGTGACTTGAGTCAGGGCTTTGTACAGGTTGGTAATTAACGTTTTACTTTGAACTAGTGGACATACTGTACTTCTTTTTGGTTTTTAGTTGTGTGGTTGGTTGTTTTATTGCAAAGGAAAACGAGAGACAGAATATCAGCTTAAGCTTCTCTCTAAACTCTCACGTTGTTCCTTAACAATTCCTTTTATTCCAAGGTTCAATGTTCTGGATTCAATGATTCGTCTCCACACCTATAAATGCCTGTCTCTCTGTTTCGTTGTGGGAAAAGTGCTCTTTAGATTTTTTGCCTCTCCCTAATTTCTCTGCACATAGGTTGTATGTTTATGGCCATATGAAGACTGTATTGGCTGTCTTTTGAGAAATTCAATTTTATATAAAAACGAAATGGGTAATTTCTAGCTTAGTGGATATATTTTTTTAGCTTGATTTTTGCTTTGCCCAGTGAAATAATGTTGTCAAAAATTTGTTTTTTTAAAGATTGTTTTCTTTAGAACATAATTGGGTAGCTTTTTCAAAGTAATAATCTTATCCCTTAACAACGTAACAACACTCAGTTGGCTTCAGTTGCTTCAAGTCCATATTGTTTGAATTGTTTGCACTGCTTCTCCCTGACAGATTACATAACCCACCTCCTCGTCTCTCTGCAGGCTCCTCATTAATGTCCAAGCTGATGTGAAGTTAAGAAACAGTTCTGCAGAAGTCATCCTCGGAATTAAGGAGCTGCTTCTTGTGCAGAAGTAAAGGAGCTGCTTGAAAAATCTTGAATTTTTGGGATTGAGTCAGGCATTACTGGCAGTCTGTGTGCTTCTAACCCACCAGCATGTACAGAGGACAGTGGATACTTTAGCCAAAATAGATCCTGGCTTCCCAAAGATGACAAGGTATGGAAATGTTTTGGTGTATTGTGTGCCATATTACGTAATAATCTTCTTTTTCCAACATATTTTAGTGTATATTATATTATGCTTCAAGTTTCAAATGTTGGTAATATATGCCATAATAGGTGTTTATTTTGGCTTTTTTCACGAATGAGGGGGACAATAACAGTGTAGGAGTGCTATTGAATACATGTATTTAGTAGATGCGAATAAATGACTTCTTAATCTTAATGTGTAAATTTTTCATATGTATATTTGTTGTCTTGGCAAAATTAAATATTATTTTGCAAAATCGAAATCTGTTGCTAGAAGATTAGAGATTAGAATGCCAAAGTAGTTCAGTCCATTTTTTCAAATTATTTGAATCAAAATTTCTCCTTGAACATTTGTAAAGTTACATTACATGTGTGTAAATGTAGTGATTGTAACTAATGTCTAGTATGAAAAGAAGTTACAAGTACATAAGTACTAAGGAAAATAACGTGTGCTAAACAAGATGTGTTCATGTTGGTTTCTATTCAAAGGTGCTGGCAGGCAGCAGCTTCAAAATGATGGGAGGCAGTGAGACTGTCAGTGGGGACAGGGATGGTGTCCACACCACTGCAATACACGTCCCCATCGGCTGGCAGAGGAGAGTGGAGGCTGGGCAGGTGATCTATGTCAGGTGTGTGGATGTTTGAAGTCTTAATTGTGATGAGAAGCTTGTCAAAACCTACAGAGGTTGGATATCTATCATAATTGTGTCCTTAGACATTTCTTTCTGCTTTCTTCCTCAGTCCCAGTGGCACCACCCTGTCCTCTCTGGATGAGGTCAAGACCTATCTGATGACTGATGGCACTTGCAAATGTGGTCTGGAGTGTCCACTTGTCATCCATAAGGTAAAATAGTTGTATAATATTAGTTATGTCTGTTTTACAAAAAATACTCTTGCATCCACAAGGAATCTTACCCATATCCACGAACAATCTTCACATTCACTAGTGCTCCTCCATGATTAGGGAGGCCGAAATTCCTGTATCAGGGTATCCCATCGCTTTCTTGACAGGAAGTAAGCAGTAAGTGAATAATGATTAACTACTCCAAACTTTCTTTCCTGTGTGATCCTGCAGGTGTTCAACTTCATGATGGGAGTGAAGGTGGAACCAAACAGCCACCCTGTAGGCAAAACTGAGCAGGACATGACCAAACTGTGTAACCATCGCCGGAAAGTGGTGGCCATGGCTGCACTTTGTCGTAGTATGCAGGCCTCACAACTGCCCTTTGCCAACCTTCATCATTCTGGTAAGGTTTTGAAGAAATTTCCACTTATTGGAATGTCTGCCAATTTAAAACATAGCTAGAGAAGTTGTCTTTTTGTCTACTTTTCCTGTCTTAAAGTGTTTTCTCTACATTTGTTAATAGATAATGAAATCTTTATTACTGCTGTTAAGAATTAACACAGATTTACATAGCCCACTCATTTCTGTCCACTTTCAGAGTTGATCAGTCCAGTGGATAACCGTGATTCAAACGGCATACCTTTGGAGCGACAGGATGAGGAACATGGCTTTTTCCATCCAAAAGTTCATCCAGTCTCTGTCCGACCACACAACAACTTTCACCCAAATAACTCTACCAGCCCAAAATCCTCCAACCAGTTTATATACCCATGTAACGGTTCTACTCCTATTCTTCACACAGGCACAAACAATCATAATTCCTTAGATACTCTGAGAAGATTTCACCATCCTCCTTCTCTCCATACATCCCCCACTTCCTCTTCTGTCTTCTCATTCCCTTCTTACACCACTACTCAGAGGTCACCCCGCACTTCCACAATTCAGAATGTCAGTCAAGGTCAAAGAACACCAAAAACACCAGACACCCCTAGCTCTCCAAAGTTAGGGACCCGTTCCCCGCCTCCTCCCTCCTCCCCGATGACTGTTGCTGGAGGAAGCGGCAGACAGGCTCATGCTCATCACCCTCATGGCGTCATTGTAGGATGCTCTTCTAAATCTCCATCTCCTTCAATCTCACCCTCTGTCCATAATATGAACTGTGTTTCTCCTCACCAGCGAACTCGCCATCCTTCAGCCTCTCCTTCTCCTCGCTCTGAGCAGGGCACTGCGACAGCAGCAGAAGGAGGACAAATAGGAAGTAACTTGTCTAAGAGAAGAAAATCATCTTCTTCCTCTCCACAGTCCCCAATCCCTGGTGGTTCCCCTAATCCTAGTCCTCATTTCCCAAAATACAAACTGGAAGACTTCTTGGAGCAATTTAAGAACTCAGGCAGCAGCAGCACTAATAACCATCTTCTTAATCCTGATAATCCTTCTGTACTTGCTTACCAAAGCAGGGGTAAACAACAAACTCTGTCTTCAAAACCTTTAAAGATCAAGAGTCAGACTTCCAACACAGGGTCTCCAGGTTTTGGGTTAAACTCGACAAGTTCCTCTAGTTTACCTCTGGGCACATTTCTCAGCCATCATCACAATCATACTGGCAAAATACCACACACCACATCTTTTCCTGCAAGTAACTTGCTTTCCGCAGCTGCAAAGGCTCAGCTGACAAACCAGATTACCCAGGGACATAGCTCAAATGCTGCCAGCAGCGATGGGAGCTTGCCCCCTTCAATGGAGGTCTTGAAAGAGGCACAGCAGCAACAGCCATCAAAGGTAACTAACAGCACTTTACATAACAGCAACCCTCCCTCCAACACTGCTTCTAGACCTCCCCACCCCTCCCTTGCAGCAGCCTCTGCCATCCTTTTTCCTCCATGCCACTCTCTGGCCCAGTCCCTGGCCTCCTCCCTGCCTCACCTGCCTCCCACAGCAGAACGTGGTGCATCGCACAGGAAGAGGCAGCGGCAACCTCCCACTGTGCTCAGCATGCTAAGGGACACCCAGCAGATGGTTAATGGGCCCCAGAAGACCCCACTGAGAGAAGCTGTTTCTGCTTCAGTCATCAACCTTTCCTCATCATCCTCACGCTCCTTGTCACACTCCTTCTCCTCTACCTCAACGGTGCAGAGCCAGAATAATGTCGTGCTGGAAACACATCGTCCTCATCATCTCCTGCCTGGGCAGATGTCCAGGCTCCCTACCCCCCAACAGATGGCACACCTTGCAAGGCCTTCACGGCCAAACGATTTGCTGGATTTTACTACAGGCCTGACACCAACACCACTTGGCTTAGATCCTCCAACTCAGCCTCTGTCTGCGCTCTTACACCTCCTTAGTGTGCAGAATGCGCAGGCCTCAGTTTCCACGACAGCTTCTAAATCTCAGCCCGGATCCTTGTCTTTTGATGGCGTGGGATACACTGATAAATCAAGCCCCCAAAAGACACCCTCTTCTCCTGTCTCTCAGTCTATTATCAGGCACCAACAAAGTCAGTCTCCCTGCCGAACTGATGACACTAATTCCTTTCCACGGCCCCTTTCTCCGCCTTCTACTTCCTCTCAGTTCAAATCAGTGCAGTCTCATTCACAGTCTCTCCCCAAGTCAGATAATTTACAAAGACTCCCTTCTTCAACACTCCTACCCAACTCAAATGGAGCTTTATTAAACAGCATCTCATCTCCACATATGTCGCCAACATCCCACGAAAAGTCTCTACCAACTGAAAATCACATGTCAACATTGGACTCTGTTTCCCAGCCAACTCTGCAGGAAAATTCACCAGAGGGGACGGTGACAGTGGACATGGGTAGTAACAACTCATCAACAACTATGGACCATACTCATTCTCAAGGCAATGTTTCTATGGCATTATCCACCTCCCCAAAACCTTTAGATCTTAGCAACCACGTCCTGGCACTTCTCGCAGCATCCTCTGTGCCACAGGGAGAGGGCGGCTCTGACCAGACCTGTGACAAATCTTCCCAAGGAAATCATGCTATAGGTGGGAGCAGTCTGTTTTTTTTTTTGTTTTTTTTTTCCCCCCAATATTTCTTGAATAAAAGTGCAAATTATATCTCCTGTTAGTTCAACATGTCATTTCATTTATAGTAGTTTGTCAAGGTTTACATAAAGACAAGGTAGAACTTAAAGAAATTAAACCTGCATCAGGATATGCAGACAAACCTTTTACCTTTCCATACGGCCAGTTAATAGCAAATGTAGGCATGACACATTCACATTCAATGAGATATTTTGCTCTTTACTTTGTTTTTTCCCTTATATTCTTTTAAACTTAGATATTCTTTATTTAAACCTTATTGTAAACCTTATTGTAAATGTGACACTACTTGCATTACATAATGGAAAGTGGTAATTTTGTCTTTGACTGATTGATGTGCTTTTATATAGGGCCAGAAGAGACTGGATGTATGGACTTGAAGGCCACTGCAGTGACCAAACCTCCAGCAACCATCAGTCCAGGCCCCACCATCCATTCTCCTCTTGGGGAAAATAACAATACCACGGCTCCTTCATCTGTGGTTGACTCATCATCTACTTCACCTTTGGCGGAGGCTTTTCCCTTCATGAACCAAGAACAGTTGTTACAGTTGTTGTCATCTACAGGAGGTCTCCCGTCCCTCTTGGACCCCGCTGCCCTTGCTTCATTACCACTTTGGGGAATGTGGTTGGGAGGACAACAAGCACAGATACAGACTGCTGATGCTGCACTACATACACCACAGAATCTTACAGATCAGCTGCAATCAGAACAGCAGCAGCAGCAGCATCAACAGTCTTTGTTGATGCAACAAGAAACACAGCAACAGAACCAGGACCAACAAAAGCAACAACAGATAAACACCAACCCTCTGTTTCCATTGTTACCCTTGTTGAGTGGTTCACAGGGGGAGTTGCCTCTCAACATTTTGGGACTGTTGAACCCATTGCCACCTCCAGCCTCATCCTCAGGACAGGAACCAGATTTAGGACTTGCAGAAAAGACAAACCTCCATGCTTTGCTTATGGCCTCTTTAATGCTGGGGCAACAGCATGCCCCATTAATACCTCTGTCTGGGCTGGGTCAGCTGAGCCAGGTCAGTTTGGAAGTTCCTCTCCAGCAGCAGGGTCTTCCTCTTGATAAGGTCTCTGGTCTTTTAGATCCATCAACCCTACCAGGCGCAGGCCTTCTGGAAGTCACTCAAGGACTTCTACCCATCCCCCCTGGAGCTGAGGGCACTATCCAGTCCCTACAGTCTTTGCTGCTTCCTGCTACTCTCCCTCATCCCGCAGCCTTCCTTCCCCTCAACCCTGCCTTACTCACTGCTGCCCTGAGCTCTGCTGATCTCCACCCACATCCCCACACCCATTTAAATTCTGCACAACAGAGTCAACATACCCAACCTCAGGTAGGTTCTTGTGTCTGTTATTAACTTCTTACTGGAACTTTTCTAAATTTTAGTTACAAAAACATTGTTTATTTCCTAAACTGCATTATTGTTTCTCTAACCTTGTTACTACAATGGTTTTTTCTTATAGTAACTTTAAAGTATCCTTAGCTTAGCCTAAAGTTTGATAGCTTTCAGATGGATGAATTAATTGATGGAAGAAAGTGATTTGTCCTATGATTATTCAGCCCCTCCTTTCTCCTATTACTTATCTGTCTTTGCTTAAAAAAACTCACATTTTCTTTTTTCTGCTTCTTTGTTCTGAAGGTAACTTCTGACACCGGTGTTGACACTCTCATACCCCTTCCTCTCCAAGCTAAAGACAACCCAATCCTTCAACAGTTACTTCCCACTTTGCTTAACTCTGCGGTGTTAGGTGAGTCTCTGCCTAAGCTGCAATAGAACTTGTACATAATATTTTTTGTCCGGTAGCAGAAAGACATTCTATGTCAAAATGTTTATGAAATGTGTCTTTTTTAGGAGATCTGTCTGGTATCGCAAGTCTTCATAATATGGTGGGGATCGGAGCTGGTTCAATTCTCCTTCCGCCAGTTCAAACCTCTGCTTTGGGTATGCCTTTGTTGCAGGGTCCTGATGGGGCCATCAACTTGATCAATAACCTACAGGTAGGTGCAGAGTCCTGGGATATAGCCGTGTTGATGACGTATATTTAAAAACAATCATCTGAACTGACAATAAACCTATATTTGTTCAGATGTTGACTAAATAGCTAAATAGCTAATTTGAGCAGTAGGTAATAGAAGTATCTTTGAAACCATTCTATTTACCCAAATGCTATGTTTTAGACATAAGTAATGTTACTAACAACTTGAAAATCTCATAAATACCAGAGAAGGTGCTAGAATTGTCCTGGACCAAAGGTTTTTACCTACATGAGCACTTTGAGAAGAGACAGTGAGTAATCGCACTAAACACAGAAGAACAAAAAGATCAGTGAGCTTTAGCAGCGATATGTTGAGCACTGATGTGTTACCTTTGACACTTCCCTGTTTTTCTTTTGTCCACTAAATGTGTAAAAATATGTTTTACTTGTTTTTAGGTTGTTCTTTTAATTTAGTTAAGGTCAGTGAAATTTAAACTCTATTTTAACTTTGTTACACAGTTGGATATTGATTTCCTGTTCACAATGAATGTTTGGAAAATGGTTTACTTTCTATTTCAGAGTTTCTTCACTTATTGTGTATATTTGTAGACACACCCTGCAGCAGAGATTACTTCTCAGGACAATTAGACATTTTAAATTAACAGTTTATTTTATCTCTTATAGCTTAATCTTGCACCACCCTCCGAGGGAGAGAAGCCAACACTGCAGGAAACACAAACCCCTGTCCCACAGGAAGACATTCCAGCCAGTCAGATTGCACCTGATGTGCTCCCCAGTACTGCTCCAGGCCCTCCTTCAGCTCTTGCCCCTGCCCATGATCGCACCCAGCCTTCCCGGCGAGAATCTGAAGGCAGGCCTGTGATCGATCCCTACACTTCTTTCATGGATACAATTTATACCTCTTTCCTTCAAGTCAGCGCTAAAGAGCAGGAAGACGGGGCCCACTTGGGGCCATCTGACCCCACCTCACCCTTCTGTGCCTTACCGCCGGTTTCTTTCCCCATGGAGCACCATAGCCCGTCCGCCCCTATCTCAACTCTGCCACAGGCAAGTGCCCCAGTTTCGCTCAGTCCACGCAGGGCATGTTCACTCCGCAACTCGGACTTATCTCGACTAAGCCTAGAAGCAGCAGCACATTCCCCAGCTCAGGGGACACCAAAACCCACAGAGGACGGGTCTACATCACCCTTACAAAGGAAACCAGTTATAGTAGAAGGACATACTCACCCAGAACCTCCTTTGCCACCCATATACTTGGAGGAGGCCAAGACAGACTGTACTGGACCAGCTGCAGCTGTGTGTACATTTGTGGAGGCAGGTGGGGAGAGGCAGGTCCATCTTCCACATTCAGGGTACCTTAGTGCCACAGATGGATACAGTGGGAGGCCCGACGAAGAGACAGCTGCATCTTTAGTGCTCTCTGAACAGGGAATGGTGAGCACCCCGTTCTTTCTTCAAAGATGGGTCCACTTTTATGCAAAGCACAAAAATATTAAACATATGACTGACTTGATTGTAAAATGAGAGGGCTACAGCTCAGTTACATTTACATGTGGTGCTGTTCTAATCCTGATATTGTCTTCTACCATCCAAGGATCAAGCAGGAACTGTAGGTGGAGCCAGAAGAGGAAGGAAAAGGAAACAAACGTAAGTCACTTTATTCATTTCTCATATAAGGTGTGATTTCAGGGAGTGGGAGAAAACATTTCAGTAGAAATGGTGCTGCTTGCCTTCCATGTGTATGTTCCACAGATTAGACCAGCTGTTTTAGTAATATATATTTCTTACTTTGTTGTTACAGGCTACATAATGTTTTAGAAGACTTCAGAGACATGGATGCTACAGCACTAGAAGACACCAAGGCTACGGTAGGAGCCTACGCTCTCCAACGACAGTCATTGTTAGACATGTGCAGAATCTTTACTTTGGAGATTGTCCAAAAACGGTGTGTAGATATAAATGTTTGCTGAAGTTCCTGTAGAGATTCTTCAGAGACTGTGCTGCAACTCCAATCCCCTGTTATTGTACAATTGAGAGCACAGCCTTAGAAAATGCAAAGAATTCTGTAGGTGGACCAACGTCCAGTCTTCTTCATGTTCAGGTCAAATGCCTGAATCCCCCAGAGATTCTCCTGCTTCTGTGAATGCATTTATCATATGTGAATTCTCTGGAATCTCCAAACATCTGGACATTATCAATAGTTTTCGTTGGCCTGAGTCGTTTAATGGTTTAATTAACAGAAGTGCTGGTTATTGATTTCCTTTCACCGCTGTCATTGTTGACGCTACTGTATTGAGTTTAACTCTTGACTTACAGCCAATTCTAATTTATGGAAAAGTTTGTACATTTTCTACATATTCATAAAACAGTTCCTATAAACCAGTAATTGTCGATGCTCTTGTTGCTTTTTTCTTTTTCGGCAAAAGGATAAAGGATAGATTTGGACCTGCTTTATTGATACTATTATATAAGTAACCATGGCTACTGAAGCAACCCAATACTATCAATGACATTGGCTTTTAAATAAACTGACAGTTGTATCAACAAGTGCAGAGTGTAGTGCTACAACCAATGTCTTTCTTGCAAAATATTGAGCTGTTTTTAAGTCAGTCTTGATATGTTTACCTACACATTAGGTAACCTTCTAAAATATTATGACCTTGTGAGTCGTGCTGCGCCTGCTCTAAGTTTCAGGACATTTAAAGGACATATTTGGATACCTCTCATAAAGCAGTGATGCAGCAGCCTCCATATGTGTATTTGGAAAATGGGATTTAAAATCTCCAAGCCGTAGCGAAGGTGCTAGGTTTTGCACAGTGACATGTTTCAGCTGGATCTGAGTATTTGTGCAGCGCTGACTGCAGTGGTAAAGTCATTCCACCTTCAAGCAGCTGGAAAGAAGATGATCCAAACTGACTCCTACTTCTGTCTTTTCTCCCTCTTGTTCCAGGCAGCACTGCTGAAGCCTGAGAGGTCGATCCGTGGCAGAAGGCGACGAGGTGCCAGGTCTCAGAGGCAGTGATGGGTGGGGCCGGCTGTCACTCAGAGCTCTGCACCAATTAAAAGGCAGTCGGAGGCACCTTTGTCCTGCACCATCATCACCACTGTCTAGACTTTTTTTTTTCTATATGAATTCAACTGCACTAATACAGTACGTTGTTGTCATGTGATCCATTGTTATGGCAACCACTACGAAAACACATAGGAGACGGATCTAGTCTGAGAAAAACATTTACAAAAAAGTGAAATAAGTTGTTTTTCACTTAGGTCTTCTCTTAGGTCTAGTTGAAAATGTAATGGTTGCTTTACATGTATGGTCAGAGATCTGGTAATAATGCTTGGTGTTAGACTTATGTCAGTCAGAAAATAGAAAAGGTTTAACAAAGGAGTACTGTTTTCTTCTCATCAGTGTGTAACTGTGAGTCAGGATAAAGCCCATTTACTTGAACGATGCTCTCTGTTGAAACTGTGTGTCTGTGTGTGTGTGTGTGTGTGTATATGTCTTAATGTGTTTGAGTGTGTTTTTGGACAACAGTGCTGTTGCTGAGCCCCTTGCTGTCCAAAGTTTTTGTTTAAGTAAACATTCTTTATAAGGAAAAGAGAGACAGCCATTTATTTTTTGTTTTCACAAAGGTGTTCTTTTATTTTCCTTTTTTCATCAGTTTATTATATACTTTGGACCAAGACAAGAAGTAATGTGACTCACTCCATCAGGTTTCTAAGCCAGTTTACATCAGTGATGTATCACCATTGTTTTTAAATTTTAATGAATCCCAATTCCACCTCCCGTGAAAGTGGTTGTATGTCATCCATAATCATAGGACCTAAGGAGGAAACATTGTAAAAATATATATCCTGACCACACAGTTTTTACAAGGCCAGGTCTCACTTCTGAATTATTTTCAGAAAAATCAGCATTGTCCAAACATTTAAATCTGATACGTTTTCACACGCTGCTTCATGTGTTGTTGCAGGGAACTGTTAGCATCTGTGCTGGATGACGACTTTCGTCCTTCTCCAACGATGAGATAAATCAAAGTCTGGAACAAATATTTTTGTTAACTAAAGTTATGGAGAAAAAAATACTATTACTACTTAATTACTGAGAGCGAACATGTCTTGTGTGAATCTTTTGATTCCGTATGTTACTGTGGATTTTTAGTACTATCTTTCCACCCTTTCATACCTGTATCACTGTGTGAGCACTCCTCCACACACTGCCCTGCCCCAAGAGTACTGGCATCTCTAGTTGTATTTAAAACAAAAAAGTCAAAGTGAAAAAGAAAGCAGAATATGCAATTTCTACACTTGGAAATGTGTACATATGTACAGTTAACGTGTTTTATTTTGATTTTATATTGTGAGAGAACGAGATGAGAGAAAACAATGAATTGTGAATTTTTCTGGGAATTGTAATTAAGTATTTTTCTCATTCTACCCCTTGTTTTCAATACTTAAGTTTTACGAAAAGATTAAATTGTGGACTGTAGCTTTCATTTTTATATGGGAGTCTTTTTTTATTTAATATTAAAATATTTACAGAAAATGTACCTCGTGTTGACGTCTGTTAAGAGATGTGAGCAACTGTCAGAGATTTTTATTTTGTTATCATAAATTCATAATTAACAGTAATGATAAATTGGGCTTTATTTTTGTTTTAAATTGCGTAAAATACTGAAAGCTAAATCTAACTTCACTGACAGTGATTTATTATGCAAACACTAGATTACATTTTTAGTAATTGCATTTCTTTATAAATATAGAGAATTTAAATATGTTTAAATATCCAAGTACAAGCAACCCAACATGGGCTTCAGCTACAGTAAGGCTCTTTCTGTCTTTTGGTGTGAAAGATCACCTTGAAAGCGCCCGTTGTTGACAGCTTAATACATATGTAGTATGATTCCAGAATGTTAAGGAGTGAAAAAGTATAGCCATCATTCCAAAGGTGTAGTTTATTATGAAACATGAACTAATGTTTCCTCCTCTTTCGTTTTTTTCTTAGGGTTTGAATGTACACTTCTAGCAATGTCTAGGTTTGAAACACGCACGTCTTTATTGGACATAATTGGATAAGCTTTTTTCTGCCTCTTCAGGCCTTTTCTGCATCGCTCCTGCTTCAGCAAACAGTAATTCTTCTTCAAGGTGAGGCCTTAAGTCATCTTACAATCAAAAGAGCTTCCAGGAAGGATTCAGGCATCTGAGAGATCAAGTATAGCTGTTATGATTAGAGGCTGAATCAGCGTCCTTGGCACTGTCTGCTTTACAAAATGTGCTTGTCACAAGGGTGGAGCTGTATGTTGACCTGTAAAATTCTCTTTTGAAGGCAGGCAGGTCCTGAATGGAACAGGCAGCGGCACCGCATTCATTTGGGTGAGGGTGTGATTAATGATGGATGACAACAGCTATGTTTTATATCTCGTATAAAAAGGAAATTTCAGAAACAGGAAAAGGGCTTGCAGCTCATCCAGTGCCAACTTGTCTAAATTTTTGTTTTTATCTCCAAATTGCTTGACCCAGGATGTCAGTATCTCTGCTACCTCAGATTATCCCTGACTTCATCTCAACACTGCTCCTCTAATCTGTCACTTCTAATGCTGTCCATTCTTTTTACTCTTAGTGAAAACAGAAGTACAGAAAAACAGTGACTGAAGCAGGTCCACTGGTGATAAACTGGGTGAAAATGTCCAGGTTAGCTGGCCATGTGTATGTTTTAGGAAAGTGCTAGATTTATCACTGCCATCCGTTACAAACATAGTTTAAAAAAAATGAATATAGCGGTATCCGCTGCCTTAAATATTGCAATCATTCCAATCCTATAGTGATGCTTTAACTATGGAACAACAACAGAACAAGAACTTAAACAATTTATTTAATGAAAGGCTTTGAGTTGCAGATGCTGTACCACTTTAAAGAGACGGATGCAGACCACGCCCTTCCTCGATCGGACGGTAGAGGTCGCTGTATTGACCCTGGCGGCAACATCGTCACCAGCAGTTATCTCACTGTCCTTCCAGCAGCATCTCACCTTCAGCCGGCCTGCAGCAGCAGCAGCAACTCCTCCATCGCCACACCCGAGACCTGAGAAAACGACACAGCCGAGATTCTACCACCAGAGACACAGGAGGAAAACACAGCGTCGCCACAGTCGGCTTCTGTAATGATGTAGACGATCGATTTGTTTTTTTCCACGTCAAATTCAGCCTGACCGCCTCACTGCGACACGCAAAGCTGTGCATCCTTAAACGGCAGCCTCACTCTCAGCCTGTCCGGATAAATCTGCCCCAAAACAAACGTCGAATCATCGTCTCTGCCAGACCTGCCTCGTTTATTTTCACCGACTCATCATCAGTGAGTCCTTGAGCCCGAGCTACAGCATCCTTCTCTCCTCCAGCAGAAAGCAGCATCCTTCCTGCCTTCCTCCTCATCAAATCTGCGCCATGGCCGACGTCCCAGCGGAGTGTAATATAAAAGTGCTGTGTCGTTTTCGTCCTCTCAACCAGTCTGAGATTATACGAGGGGATCAATTTCTCCCTAAATTTCAAGGGGACGACACTGTCACCGTCGGGGTGAGTAAAAAAAGAAAGAAAACGGAAGGAAGTGGCGCTTTGTTGTGAGCACAGATACATATACAAGGCCCCTCATCAATAAATCATCAGCTGGCGGACCCATCTGTTCAGGAGGCTGTGGACTGGGCAGCTCCAGACAATAACACCACACCTTTAACCCTTTAAATCTGGATTAATCTGACATGACAACAAAAAGAGTCAGAGTCAGTGTTTCGTTAAAATGCGCAAATTGGCCTTTTCCCTGCACCATCTGATAAAATCAGTGTTGGTGCTGCGAATAACCTGATACATGGTCTGTAGTACCATGGTTAGACTGTTAAAAAATAAGTAATTTGACAACTGAAGTTAAGATAATGTTACTGTAAGATGTTCAAATATTGTCTAACTTTTGATCAATTTTCCAAACTAGGCTATATTTTATATTTTTTAGTTTATACTTTATGTCTTAGCATCTTAATGCTACCTTTGTGTACATAAACACATGGTTGTTTTTATGTACACGTGTTGTTATATATAGTATGTATTTTGACAAATCTTTAGCTATACGTTAGCAAACATTTTATACTACTGTATGGTCCAGCAACCTCTTTCTTAGATTTCTAAACTTTAAATTATGTCGCGCGTAACAGTCTAAATACATTAGGAAGATCATGCTGTGGCCAGAGTTGTGTCCAGGCCTACGATGAAAGCCTTTATGGTCAATTTTACAAAATGTCACTATTATAAACCCACAGTCATAAGGAAATTTCGAAACCCTACATTGTGCCATGAGGACACAGCTTGGTTTTAAATGTTTTCATGTCGAAATGTCTTTTCCATTTTTCATGCCTATTAGTTATGGCTGTGTTTCCCCAACACAACCATCAACCCATATGTTACATTAGAAAACTCTCACGCTGCACCATTCAGCAACAATGTGACACAATGTTTCTGTAATGAATTATAAGAACCTTTTCATTTCTGTATGAAACCTGGGCCTGTTTAGTTGAACACGACCCTGATGTTGAATTTATATCTGTTGCCAACTAGTGGAAGATTATTTAATTGTCCAGACCAATTATGACCTGATGACCTGTGGTTGGGAAACAGTGGAAAAAGAAATCTGTAGATGGTGTAACGTGTCTTGTCTGAAGGTTGTTCCCCCTAAAATCAGTTTTGGAGATTTTATCTAAATATAAAATCTGTAATGGATAAACAGGTGGTGCAACTTAGAAGTTGATGGAGCATGGAAGTGGCTCCAGTTAGCTAGAGCTAGTTCTGCTCTGGTTCTGTTTGAGTTGTGACCAAGATATGATCATAGCAATATATTTTACAAATATATTTGCAAGCTTGCAACTAATCAGTATTTTTCTTGATGAATTAATAGTCAAATGTGTTTTGATTTGTCCCTGACTCATGTGGTTCATAAAATGCAACAAATGATGGGAAGGATTTGTGTCCAAAATCAAAAAGGAAGTCAAAACAACCCATTTAACAATTGATCACTTGATTGATCGATCGGTTTGGCTTATTTCTAGGTCAGATAAACCAGAGAGCTGTACATACATTTTAACAAAATGTTTTAAAAGACCACAGTCACAGTAAAAGACAAACATCTATAGATGGAGACTAGAGGGTAAATTACAGGGAGGGTTGTTGGATTATATACATGTGGCTCAAATGGAGGATGACAAAGAAACCCACTCCCGTGATAATGCAATCATCTCCTTCTGCCCTTCTCTCTGCTCTTGTCATGATGCGGAGCAGAACCCGACCCCTCTTATCTCCTGCAGAGAGGATCAATACTCGTCCAACAAGCTCCTCTGTACAGTGACGGACCGGCTTTCTCTCTCTCAGCTTTTTTCTCTCCATTTTTTTAACCACTCTCCTGAAGCCGTCTCTTGTTTTTACTGTCCACTTCTCATTCATCCCAACGTTTTATCTCCTGCGCCTCCTCCATTGTCCCCGGAACTAGTGATGTCTCACTCAGTTAAATAGCTCCATCATGGCAGCTTGTCTGCAGATGGATCGTTGCGTTAATGACATTTAATACAGCTTCTGTTCTGGCTGCAATCATTGGTGTGTTGTGTGCGTCACACGAGCCAATGACATTAAGAAGAATGATAATCTGGTTTGTGTGGAAAGGACTGTTATGGCTGAGTCACTCGTCAGCCTGTCACACAGGCTGGGTTTACATTTGAGGAGGAGTTGAGATACTTTGGGTAGAATAACAAGAGGAGAGGAACTTGGTTCCAGTTCCACTTGACAGATGAGGCGTGGTCAGCAGTCCAACACAGGTCCAGATAACTGACACACACACCTTATCATGTTATACTGATGGATTGGTTTCCTTAGGATGCTAATATTCTTGAAAGTCTCTGACAGACACTAAATACACAACAATTTCACCAAATAATCTAATCTGAGGCAATTATTCAGAAGGACTTTTCAAAAAGAAGTCAAACATTTGGATTTACACTTCACTGCAGATATTGAAATATAATTTTGTGGATCTTTGAAATTGTAAAAATTTAAAGAAAATCTAAGAGTGTTGTCTGAATGTATTTGTTCAGGAAACTTAAACCAACAGCCACTTTAATTAACTTGATTTATCTTCAAACACAGACAAAAAAGACACACACCTTCTTATGGTGGCAGACAGTCTGGTCTGTGCCCATTTTGTCACATTTTTTTGCTTTTTTCGTTATTTTCCTTTACATGGGATAAAAAAACGGCAGTTTTTATCATGTTATTTTGAAGATGTAAACGACGCAACGTAGACGTTGGAGACTGAATGTGAACGAGAGGGGGACGTGTTAGTCTTAGTTTTCAATTTAAGCGCAACCAAAAATCTTCGTTTCTTGATTACAATCAAAGTGTAATTTCTTGTCTTCTGTTGTGCCTTGAGTCAGAGGAGATAATACACCTGGTGCTCATTAACACGTATTGGGAACTGCTGCATTGGAACGCAGTAAATTATAGACCACACTGCTTTTTCCAAACTGAGTCACAGATGTCAGTGAAAAGCTTCAGTCAGCTTCACCTGGTGAGGTCACTGTTGAGCTGTAATGTAAAGAGGAGGTGACAGCAATGTGATGTGTCATAGTTAGTCACGAGGCACCCGGGTCTTTACATTAGATGTTGGTTGCTTGGAGTTTATCTCCCATTGGTTGTATGATCTCTTGACTAGAAGTCTATAGAACGCCTTTTCTCCTGGAATAGGAAATCACTTAATGATAAGTAAAAGTGTGCTCTACCCCAGAGTGCTCACGTATTAAGATTCCAATAAGGAAGTGTCCATGGTCAGCCACGCCAGGATGATTCAGCCACTTTCCAGCATCGATACCTGGGCCAATCACTGATGACCTCACAGGGCTCAGAGACATGACTAAGCACTGGTGAAGAAGTCTGCTTTGTGTCAGACTTTACAATAGTTGTAAAGCATTTAGTCCAGTTTCAACTCCTGACTATAATTCAGTGTTCTTTTATTGAAAGAAATAAAGTGTATGGTTAAAACAGAGCAAGCAAAAATAGACACAAAATAACAACAAATAAATCAGGTGGGGCAGCAGCAAAGTAATACACACCGACGGACAAGGTCATCAAAACACTGTAGCACTCCAAAGGGTAAAAGTGAAGTTTTTATATTAATCCTCTAACAAGAAAGTTCAAAACTAATCCTCACTTGTGTTTGGTTTCTTGATGCTAACAGGGGAAGTCGTTTATGTTTGATCGTGTGTTTCCCACAAACACAACCCAGGAGCAAGTGTACAACACCTGTGCCAAGCAGATCGTCAAAGGTAGAGATGTTGTAACTATTTACACTGAATAAGTAAGAATTCAACTTCTCTGACTGATTTTTTATCTTCATTCTCAGATGTCCTGTCTGGCTACAATGGCACTATCTTCGCATATGGACAAACCTCCTCCGGAAAGACTCACACCATGGAGGTACACTTCATACTAATGACCTTCAGATCAGCAGATCAGATGCAGAAATATTTCCTCAAAAGTCTGAACTACAGCAATTAAACAATAGGCCTCTCTGGTGTCTTCTGTCTTTGAACCTTCATCATGAACTTAACTCAAACTCTAAATTTTTAGGATCTTTTTTCGGTTGTTCAATACTCGTCTGTGTGTCATCCTGCTTTAGGGCAAACTCCATGACCCCCACCAGATGGGAATCATTCCTCGCATCGCTGAGGATATTTTCAACCACATCTTTGCTATGGATGAAAACCTTGAATTCCATATCAAGGTATTGGATTCTTTGTATTCTTTTTTTGTACGTAATCAGCCAAAAATAATAATTAAAAAAATCATATTCATATTTTATGATTTTCCTTCTCCAACAACAGGTTTCCTACTTTGAAATCTACATGGACAAAATCCGTGATCTGCTGGATGGTGAGTGCTGACGAACTTCAGTGGAGATTCAGTCTCTCATATGAAGCAGTGCTTTTCTTAAGCCATTTTTCATCTTTCTTAATTTTCCAGTGACAAAGACCAACCTGTCTGTCCATGAAGACAAGAACAGGGTCCCATTTGTCAAGGTCTGTCAAGTGTTACTTCAAAATGTTTTTTTTTTTAATTTAGTGTTGGGCTTTTCAATAACAAATATGTTTCGAACTTTGTCTCAGGGCTGCACTGAACGCTTTGTCTCCAGTCCTGATGAGGTCATGGATGTGATCGACGAGGGCAAATCTAACCGCCACGTGGCTGTGACCAGTGAGTCTTTGTTGTAGTTCTTTTATTTATGTCCAGTTTGATCTCAGTATATGTGAACACAGGCTTAAAAAAATGCAAAGTCACTTACAACCGTTGTGACCACAGTAAATGCATCTCATAATTAAAAAAAAACAAACACATTTATTCACAACACAAATGAAAATCTGAAGACCAGTCTCTCTCTCTCTCTCTCTAATGTGTAACAAAACGCCTGAAGACAAACACTGGCAGTGAGACATTTTAACTCCTCTCCCACTGACAAAGGCTTTCTGTCGATTAGTCACTGCAGCAGCAGCAGCAGCCTCCGTAGTGATGCGTGAAATAATGGTCATGTGACCCCTTATTGCACCTTGTTATGTCATTTTTATCCTACAGTGAGTGAGCTAATCTTTTCAGGCTTTCTTCAAGGTTATAAAGAAAAATCCTTTCAATTTTACAATAGATGACAAACCAAACTGACATTTTCCCACTACTGGCTCTGGCTCTCACTATGCTACAGAAATACAATCTCACTGAGCAGAGTTTGCTATTTTTGGTTGAACTGTTGCTGAATCATTCCTCTGTAGCCCATTTATAACAGTGACATTTTAGAGATTTAAACACACACCACCGTGTATTCATTCATTTTTGCAAGGATTTACTTCTTAGTTTTTAGGGTTTTTTCTGTCTCTGGTGTTTTACAGCCATGTCACTGTTATTGGACAAACTATCACCAGTAGAGGGCAGCAGTTTTGCCATTATTTTCTAACCGCCATTACATTCATCATAGGTCATTTACCATAGGTGTCCTGTTGGTTTATTTTAGATACATAAAAAAGTGTTAAAGTTTTTAAGAAAATATATTTAAATAAATATTAACATTTTTACAGTTGCTGGTTTTGTCCTATTATGTGGTGATGTTTATAGAAAAGCGGTCCCTGAAAACAAATACAGACAAGTCACTGTATTGATTTATGTTCAGCCTCTTCCCACTCAGGTCAATACAGTCTGTGCGACCCGACTTATTAGCTTTGTCGTTTGCTGCAGCGTGTCGTCTGGCAGGACGTGTGTTTGCTGGTTTAATCACAGGAGCTTTAAATATTCAGTTTGGCTGTGTGTAATGACTCCCAACAACACAGTCAAATGTGAACAGGACTATAAAACTTTAATGAACACAAACAAACTCTGTGATTATTTTTATGTGGGTTTTCAGTTTTTATCGCCTTCAAATAAAAAAGTGGAACATTAAATAAATATTTTTAGAGCTCAGCCCTAATTAATGTTTTGCCTGGAGAAGCAGTCTCCTGTGCTTCCTGTGGCTTTGCTGACTCACAGTGCTGCAGACAGGTAGAGAAAACAGACTGATGGTGTAGACACTGCAGACAGAGAGACGACGGGCCTCAGATATCAACCTCTGTTATCTTTAATGTACATAAATAAATAAATGACATAGAAAGTGATGTAGAAAAGTCTGTGTCCAGGAAATTAAAATGTATTAAAAAAGAGTTCTTTTGTAGCACCTTTTCCTCCAGTTCACTGTGTTGAAGAGTGCTCAAATGTGTCAGAACTGCACAAATAACATTTGTTATCTTAAGTTAAGTTCGATTTTATTTGACTTCTGTTTTTGTTCAGACATGAATGAGCACAGCTCTCGCAGCCACAGCATCTTCCTCATCAACATCAAGCAGGAACACGTGGAGACGGAGCAGAAGTTGTGTGGAAAACTCTACCTGGTGGATCTGGCTGGTAGTGAGAAGGTGTGGATAAAAAGATGTTTGTGTTTCGTTTGTGTTTGTTCTTAAGCTGTTCATCAGTGCCATCGTCGTCTCTGTTCCAGGTCAGTAAGACCGGAGCGGCCGGAGCTGTTCTGGATGAGGCTAAAAACATCAACAAGTCTCTCTCCGCTCTGGGAAATGTCATCTCTGCCCTGGCTGAGGGAACGGTGAGTCACTTCTATAAATGTATCTCATTTTTACAGACGCTAAAGTAAATGCTCAGACTGAGTGCTCCTGTGAGAGAAGTAGATTTTTATCTAACAGACATCAACATGACCACAGTGATACTGATTTGGAGCTGATGTAAAATGGTGGCTTTGTTTACTTATTTTAATGTCGCATTTTCTCCTATAATAAAAAAACAAACATCACGAGCCACACAAGCACTTCAAGTTCAACCTTCCAAATGAAGTCAATACTGCAGTGTATAATGCTGGAATATACTGCAGTCATATTACAGAAATATATTGCATTTCACAAAGGAAGCAAATTCTTGTTTTATCACCACAAGATAAACATCAGTGTGAATTTCTCCACTGTGATTTAAAAGGACTAATTCAAAGCTGCTAAAATGTCCCAACTGTAGTGACACTGTGTTTTATGTTAGCTTAAAATGTTTAAACGTTGAACAAAACATAAGGGTTAGTTTTAAGATTTGCTGAATAATTAGATTGAAATGTATCCCTATGAAACCAAAAATGTCCCAGCTTCATATTTCTCCTTCATTTTTCCTAATATCGCTTTTCGTCTCTCCCTTCCATTCCTCCTCGCTCCTCTTCACTGTTACAGAAATCTCATGTCCCGTACCGTGACAGCAAAATGACTCGAATCCTGCAGGACTCTCTGGGCGGCAACTGTCGCACCACCATGTTCATCTGCTGCTCTCCCTCCAGCTACAACGACGCTGAGACCAAGTCCACTCTCATGTTTGGACAAAGGTCAGTTTATTATCTTTGAAAACTGTCAAAATGTTAATTATTTACAAAAATGAAAGTAGTCTGTCCTGTGAGTCTGTAAACACGGAGCAGTTCAAAGACTGACCTTTGTGTAAATTCTCCTTCCATCGTTTTCACCATCTGCTTTCATTACAGAGCCAAGACCATCAGGAACACCGCGTCCATCAACCTGGAGCTGACGGCCGAGCAGTGGAAGAGGAAGTTTGAGAAGGAGAAGGAGAAGAACAAGACTCTGAAGGAGACCATCCAGAAACTGGAGGCCGAGCTCAACCGCTGGAGAAACGGTGAGTCACGGTGCCGTACCATGACGTTCGTCTCAACTAAAAAACCAATGGAGGTGAATTCTGGTCCTGTGTTTACTGGCTCCTCATCCCTTTCCTTAGGAGAGAATGTCCCGGAGACAGAGCGGACAACCGCCGACGTGGTCAACAGGATCGAGACTGTGGAGGAGCGGCCCGTCTTGGACAATGACACCTCCTCCATTGTGGTCCGTATTTCTGAGGAGGAACGTCAGAAGTATGAGGAGGAGATCCGCAAGCTGTACAAGCAGCTGGACGACAAGGTTCACACACACACACACACACACACACACACACACACACTGTATTAAATAAGTGAATTCGTTTTTTATTAATAATTGTAAATACAGTAGTAAATACTCGATGTTTGTGTTGATAACATTGATACAGGATGATGAGATCAACCTTCAGTGCCAGTTGGTGGAGAAGCTGAAGCAGCAGATGTTGGACCAGGATGAAGTGTGTGGACATGAACTCAAATCACACAAACACACTTCAAGTGTGCTGTAAAAAAAAGAATTATAATTAAGTCTCTCTTCTCCCTCCACTCAGCTGGTGGCCTCGTCTCGTGGTGACGGAGACAAGGTTCAGGCTGAGCTGGGCAGGCTGCAGGTGGAGAGTGATTGTGCCAAGGCTGAGGTGAAGGAGGTGCTTCAGGCTCTGGAGGAGCTGGCCATCAACTACGACCAGAAGAGCCAGGAGGTGGAGGAGAAAGGCCTGCAGAACCAGCTGCTGGCTGATCAGCTGGCTCAGAAAATGGTACGTCATTAACATCAACAGGAAGTTTACAAATGAAACTAGATGGCGATCGATGTCATGTGGATTCAATTCAAGTTTCAGCGTTTGAGTGTTAAAGTCACAGCTCCTTCTGGTCTGTGTTTTAGGCCAGTCTGATGGAGCTGGAGGCAGAACTGTCTCGCATGCAGGAGGTCAGTGGTCAGCAGAGGAAACGTATCGCTGACGTCCTCAACGGTCTGATGAGGGACCTCAGTGAGTTCAGCGCCATCGTGGGCAATGGGGAGATCAAACTGGTGAGTGGAGTCGTGGAGAGGTCACGGGATTTAGTTTGTCCTGCGATTCATCAGCAAATGTTGGTTTTGGGTTCTCCTCCATCTGCAGCCGGTTGAGATCAGCGGCGCCATCGAGGAGGAGTTCACCGTCGCTCGTCTCTACATCAGTAAGATTAAGTCAGAGGTGAAGAGCATGGTGAAACGCTGCCGCCAACTGGAGAACATGCAGCTGGAGTGTCACCGCAAGATGGAGGAGACTGGGCGGGAGCTCTCCTCCTGCCAGCTCCTCATCTCTCAGGTGAGGAGTCAGACAATGACATGGGTGAAAGAAAACAAAACCAATCAGGGTAAAGAAGAAGAGAGAAATCAGCTGAGGAGTTTTCTCTGAGATTTCAATTGAGTGGATATATTTCTCAAACTGTTTCATTAACTTTGGGTTGTTGTGTTTGTGCAGCATGAGGCAAAGATCCGCTCTCTGACCGAGTACATGCAGAGTGTGGAGCAGAAGAAGCGGCTCCTGGAGGAGAGCCACGACTCTCTGAGCGAGGAGTTGGCCAAGCTGCAGGACCAGGGTAACATGAGAACCACACATGACGAATGAGATAAGAAAAGATAGAAAAATGTTCAACGCTATTGTCAGATCAAGAGTTTTCCATCTGACTGACAACTTCCTCCAATACAGATAACTCTCTGCTGGAGGAGAAGAGTGTGGAGAAGGGAGAGGCTGAGGATGGAAATGTGAAGGTAAATAATTCTGATCCGTGGATGTTGAAGTGGGCATCCAGTCCAGGTTTAATTATTCAGTTTTAAGTTTTTACCAGACTCCTCAGTTTTCTCATATTTTCTGTCCTTGTCCAGAAGTCTTCCCGTCAACTGGGAGAACCAAACCGTGGCCTCCATCACAAGCAGCTGACCCGCCTGCGGGATGAGATCAATGAGAAGCAGCGGGTCATCGATGAACTCACTGAGTCTGTGTTGTTGTTCACCTTTTCACCTTATTAGATAACCTCTTGTTATTATCCCAAACGACTTCCTGACCATTTCCATGTTTCCTCACCACAGCCGTAACTCTAAGATGGAGCTGGAGCTCGCTCAGGTCCGTGCCGACTTTGAGCGCTTGAAGAGTCAGGACAGCACCAAGAGCGAGCGCCTGGAGGAGCTCTCGTAAGTGTCAGAGTCGTGACTCAAATCTCTGTGCATGTCAGCTGAAATGTTTACAGCTGAAAGGACACGTTCTGTTGCTTCTTCAGATTCTTGCATGAACGTCATGAGCAGACCAAACAGGACCTGAAGGGTCTGGAGGAGACTGTCGTAAGTGAAATATATTTTTCCATCTTTTGGTCTCATTGTCTTCAGAAAGACAGTCACAGTCTCGTCGTTTCCTGCTAACTTCAATAATCTGTCTGTCCTCCAGGCCCGCGAACTCCAGACCCTCCACAACCTGCGCAAGCTGTTCGTTCAAGACCTCACGTCGCGGGTTAAAAAAGTAAGCAGCTGACAAGAAGTCATCATGATTTTTTACACCTATTCTAAAATATCTGTGACTCTCAGCCTCTCAGTATAGCAGCACAGTAATCCACTCACTTGTGTTTTTAATCCTAATCTCTTACTCAGAGTTCCGAAATGGAGCCTGATGATAGCGGGGGGTTTTGCACCCAGAAGCAGAAGATTTCCTTTCTTGAGAATAACCTGGACCAACTTACAAAGGTTCACAAACAGGTGAGTACCTGAACTCTCACCTCTGCATGAAGTTGAACTGACCTGATGGTTTCAGGCCTCAGGGTTTGATTGACAGGAGGTGGTGGTATATTTTGTGAAATAAAGCATTAAATGTCACACTACACCTTTATCTGTATTATAGTTATAGCTAATTAAAAAGATGTGGAACCACAGGTTAAATCACATCACCACAATATATGTATTTACCTCAGAGATGAGCGGCTGGAAAAAGCTAAACTATAAAAAATAAAACATTGCGGCCATAGCAAACATATTTTCTAACTCTCTCTTTTTTCCAGCTGGTTCGTGACAATGCAGATCTGCGCTGTGAGCTTCCAAAGCTGGAGAAACGTCTTCGGTCTACTGCTGAGAGAGTTAAGGCCCTGGAGACTGCACTGAGGGACGCAAAGGAAGGAGCCATGATTGACCGCCGCCGCTACCAGCAGGAGGTTGACCGCATCAAGGACGCCATGAGAGCAAAGAACGCCTTACGGCGCCCCCATGCAGCACAGATTGGTAATGAGAACATTCATGCACACGCTTGAATTCTTGATCTTTTTTTGTATCTACATAATCGATCACTTCAACTGTCCAACAGCGAAGCCAGTCAGACCGAAGCAGCTGCCCGTAAACCCCACAAACCCTTTCTACGCCTACGTCCGTGCAACCGCCAACACCTACAGCAACGCCCTCTTCCAGAGCAGCGCGTCACAGCCGAATACAAGCAGCGCCACCTGCAAGTCCAACTCTGTCCAGAGCAACCCGTGAGTTTGAATCCCTCACTGACCACACCGACGTTGGACTCTCCTTTTAGACCGACTGTAAACGGTGCTGATTTATCGGACGTTTGTTTCAGAGTTTCCACAGCCCTGGGCTACAGAGCAGGCAGATATACTGGAGACATCCTGGAGTCCTTCCCACTCAACATTGACAACGGTAGGTGGGAGGAAACACACATGAGCAGCACTTCACCTTTCTTAATAATAAACAGGGCTGATACCCACTGAACCCATGTCTGTATTAAAATAGTACATCATTAACACTCCACCTAAATGTGTAAAGACTGCCCACTGCTACTGCCGATCATTGAATATTGAGTAAAATCATTGATTTGTTTCCAACAGGTAACAACATCAGTGAAACGAGAGACATCAACGACAACAGGTGAGGACATCACTGAGTCAATGGAAATGGACAAACACAGATCCCAATTCTGTTTGACTCTGTTTGACACCATTGATTTGATTAAAGCACAGCTGCTGTTAAATGTTCCATCTGTTACTCACACTAATCTGTTAAAGCAGTGGTTCTCTGACTTTTTCTACTCCATACCAGCTGAGAAATCACTGAGCTCTCTGAGTACCACCATGATGACCAACATTAGAATACAGCAGCGTAGGCCTTCACTGTTAGCTTCCACCACAGGAGAGAGGTTTAGAAATGTTTATAGAGATGTTTATGTTTAAATGTTGTCTAATTGTGCATGGTATGTTTCAGATTTATTCAACTGAAATTGTAAATGTGAATTTAGGTGTATGAATTTTCCACATGTAACACTAGAGAGCGCTCGCATACCACTGGTGGTATGCGTACCACAGTTTGAGAACCACTGCACTAAATGATTTGTCATAATTAACCGTCTTCATGTTGTGGTGTTTCTTTCTGTCTGTCTTACACACTGACAGGAGTGATATTCACTGTGGCAGTGAGGTGGACGATACAAACGCAACTACACCCGCCCCCACTTAAACCCTGTTATACACAAAAACACACACACACACACACACACACACACACGGGGCTGATCATTTTGACCTGGCTCAACTTTAAACATGGGAGAAGAAGAAAAGAACTCAATATCTATGACTTCATGCTCTTTGTCTCGCTGCAGATGTCGACCCAACACTGTCTCCAATCAAGGACCCTCTGCCCTCCCATCTGCATGCAGCCCGTCTCACCATACACCACTGAGGAAGATGAAGATGAAGATGTGTAGCCCTGTAGTCTTATTCACTAGATGAAGCCCCCCCGTTCCTCCAACTCTTCCCTTCAGGTTTGGGGTACAGTCCGTTACAGATCAGTCAGTGGCGAAAAGAAAAAATATATTCCATTTTGTAAACTTTATTATCATAGTGTGTAGGTCCACCACAAAGTTATTTAATAATACATCTGTCAGTGATGCTGACTCACCTGCTGAAGTGTTTCAACTGACCGTCCGTCCCTGATGATTTAATACACACTCATGTTGTAAATAATAGTGTTGTATACTCCAGTAGAGGTTTCTGACCAGCAACTGTTTGTGTGAACGCACAGCCTCCATCACTTCCTGCACACATCACGTGGATGACACACAGACATGACCTTTTTCTCAGTCATAAATAACAGTATATAGTGTGTAGTGTAACAGAAGACCCAACTCTCTGCATGCATGTCCCTTAGCGGGTTATCTTTCAAATTGTTGCATGTCATGATTCCACTCGGGAGCTGGAATGCAGCGCCTGAAGCATCTGATCGACTCGGACAGATGTCACCAGAAAGTGAGCTGGTTTCCCCTAATCCTGGTCTCGCTGCTTCAGAGTTTCTATTTTAAAGTAAGCTGGATCCTGATGTTGGGGGATTTGGACTTTAATCACAAAATGATGTGACAAGAAACATAGATTGTATGTAAGAGATGGATGAAGCTGTGTCATGGCAGGTCAGGGCTGAAAGGTGCTGCTGCAGCTGAAAGAACTGATTTCAGCAGTTAGTGTAATGAGAGATGTCGGTGGAAGAACTGAACTACTGAACTGAACGTGTTGATAAAGCATTCGGTGACAACACTACGTCTAAAATCAGCTTAGTCGTAGATGTAAAGCGATGGCTCTCATAGGCCGTTTTCCTACCGACTCGATTTTTATTCTCTATCCAGTAGCAGAACTTTGAAAATATATAAAAAATATATCAAGTGTTTTCTTACAGAAGACCTTTCACTAGAAATCGGTGCCAAAGAAAAACTCTTAAGGAAAACGTCAACATCAAAACATCAACAGACACGAGTTCAGTGTCGGCTTCATCCATTTCTTAGTTACGATCTATGAACAAGTCAAGAACACGGTCCAGTGTGCGAGGAGGAGAACTGCAGCCAGACCTTTGTATTTGCTTCGATCCTGCGTTGCAGCTAGGTGATGCTATTGTGCACTTCAGGTTATGCTGCCCATGTCTATTGTTACCGAGCCTTAACAAGCGCTGACTTCTCCTTTTCTATTCCTTCATACATCTGTGAATACTACCTCTACAGATACTCATTAGACAACTATCACCATATGCTTAAAAAACTTAGTATGAGTAGATCTTTAAAGTCACAGTGTTAGTCAGTAGATATAATTCTCCTTTTAGGGCAAACGTTTTCTAAGTTCATGCCACATCCTGTTCACGGACCGTGTTTCACCTAAGGATCAAAGAAGGACAAACAAATTAAACGGCAAATTTATTCATGATTCGCTGTCAAACATTTAGTGTGATGATATGAATAGTTCAGGTTCACCTCAGATCACAACTATAATTATATTTGGAGAAGGTAAACGAGGGAAAAGCTAAGGCTTACGTCCTCCTTTATGTGCAGCTGGACTGTCCACCTAAGTCCCTGTTGGACAAACTGTCGTTTATCTTTGCTTCAACAGGCCTTTTTTTGTTGAAAATGTCTAGAATTCTCCCTTCTAAAACATAATCCATAAACCCGGTCCTCTCTCCTGAATACAATATTTAAAACAAACGTCTGCAGCAAAGAGTGTGAGGGGATGTTGGCAGTGTAGTTGCCAAGGTTTTCATTCAGGCTCACCACAGGTCTAATCATTAGAAAGTGTCCGTCCACTGTCCCCACGCTGAGCAGCCACCAGTCTGGTGTGGACATGACTATGATGTATGTGTTTGTCAGGTCATGCTGTAATTCTTCTGCCAAAAATCCTGACCAGCCAATCAGGATAGAGGAAAGCAGCAGGTCTGAAGCATGTGTTGTGTTTGGACTGAGGTGAGAGGCAGAATGTCAAAGTCAGATTTGAGTAAGAGCGGGTTCATCAGAGGTGACGACCTCAAAACTGGAAGACAGCTTTGTTTGTTTGTGACAGAAGACGTTGGACCAAAATTAGGAAGATGAATATTCTGGATCTGAACGTGCCTTCATAGATATTGAGAAATACATAACCAAATTACGTATGTATTTATATATATATGAGGGGAGAAATAGATGTTATTATTGAAACAACTAAATTCATGTCATCGTGACCAGTTCTGTCTCTGATCTGTCTTAGGTTCAACATCCAAAACAATGTCTTTGTGAGAAAAACAGTTCCTTCACTTTAACTCATACAGACAACATCTCAGGGCTCCACAGTCACAGTGACTCATCAGCCTGAAGCTACATCTTCATTCACAGACTTTAAAGTTAGTGTGTGTTCTTTAAAGCCTGCCGAAGGAGCAGGATGATGTTTCTAACATGAAGAAAAATAACATTTCATTGGTCGAGTTCATAACATTTGTATTCCAGCAGATGTCTCCACTCGCAGCTTCTCTGTGGTCAAACCCTACTGTATGTTTCTAGCCAGAAACTCTCGTTGACGTCTTGTTCAAAGTGCAAAAAAATAATCGATCAGGGGAAGTGTGTATTATATCTTCGACTGCTCTTTCACCGTCTCCTTTCAACATATTTAAAGTTTGTGTGCTTTTAAGTAAAACAGCGCCCCCTTACATGCCGCCATGATGAAATCCATAAGAAGTACGGGCTAACTTTGATCAAAGAAATCTTTATTTTATTTATTTATTTATTCATTTATTTATTCAGGACAACAAGTGTAACGTCTACATGATTGTCCAAAGAATCACAGCGAACAAATCTCTCTGTATATATAGAGCCATCACTATGCTGAACTGTATGTGAACCATTGTGTTGTAGTTGAACAATAAACTTGTAGAAAGGTTTCGTGTGGGTGGTTTCATTGAGGCCGTTGTAACTGACAGCTAGACCGTCACAGCCGTCAGTCTGTGACCGTGGACAGAATCTTTTTAT